ATCACATTCATTTTCTTTCCAAATCAGAGTTAAAATAGCTCTGTCTTCTTTGGTGACAGTGATTGCTCAGGAGAACAATGCCCTCCCAAGCACCATGGCTGAGCCAATATCACAGTGTCTGGACAATCTCCTGAAGGGAACTTACACAGGTGGCTCACAGGACTGCTTCCACACAAAGCACACTGTGGGTGTCTTGACTCCCTTTGAAACAGAGATAGCTGTCTCTGCTTACACTGCCTCCTTTGTTTGAAACTCTCTTTTCTTTCTCCATTAGACATCAAAACATTGCCCATCATCCTATAGGGCCTGACCAGTGACCCCTGTTACTCCAAAGCTCAATCAAATTCCCCCTCTCCTCAACTCAGTCATACTTATGGCTTGCACACTCTAAGTTACTTTGGCCACAGGGCAACTTGGAGGCAGATCTGACCTGGCTACCTACTAGCTGAGTAGCCTGGGTAAGTTCTGTAGCCTCTATGGGCCTTTATTTTCTCATTTATGAATTAGGATTCAAATACCTACCTCACAGAGTTACTGTGAGAGGTAAATAAGTGAATTAACATTTATTGTACTCAGCACTGTGTCTGGTACATACCAGGCATTTAGTGTTTCTTTCAAGTTTATATTTTCCTTGTAGTCTATATTTCCTAAATGTATGTTTGATGCCTTCCCAACAAGATCGAGAGCTTCTTGGACACAAGGGCCATGACTCATTTCAATTTGTGAGTGCATAGCACAGTTTGGGGCCAGTAAAAAGTAGCCTATATTTGTTGGCCTGTAAGTGCACATTTGATACTATATGAGGTAGTATATCACACAATCTCACTAAAGAGAATCTCAGGCAAAGGAGAGCGGCATACACAGAGGCAGCTGCCTCTGCTTCAAAGGGCACAAAGCAGCCCAAAGGGTGATGTTTAGCAGTTTCATGCGCCACTTGTGGCTTCTGTTATATATCTCATGTTGGCTATTGAATTGCATCAAAACTATTGAATTGATCACCTCTGAGTCCATACTCCCATTAATCCATTCACTCATCCACCATTGACTGATTGCCTCCTAAATGCATCCCCTTGAAAATTCTAGTCATGTATAGTTTCTTTAGTAGAAGGAGAGCTATAGGCTGGTGATGGGAGGGACTAGGAGTGTGCAGGGCAATACAGAAAGTGCAGTGGCATGCTGAAGATGCGGATCTGGAGACCTCAACCCTGCTATGCATCAGAAGCAGCTGGCATAGATATAGATTCTCAGCTCCTATCCCCCAGAAATTATGACTTAATGGCTCTGGGATGATAATGCAACAACAAACAAAAGAAACTCCCTGGGTGATGGTTCTGAGGCACAGCCAGGGATAAAAACCACTGAAGCAGATGTTACACAAGTGCTCCAGGAAACTGCCTAAAGTGGCGGTCCCTGGCAATGCTGGTGAGGGGTGGTGTGCTAGGCTAGAGTCAAGAACAGAGCCCCAGGCTGGAGGAAGGAGAAGACACCTGGCCAGAGGCTAATCAAATGTGGGCTCACTTTCACCTCTCACTTTCCTAGTCCCCAAGAGAAACCAAGGAGAGTATCAAGGCTGGATTCCCCAGGGGAGAGGGGCCAAGGATTCCAGAAGAACACAGGAAGGCAGAGCTGTGTATAGTTAAGGAAATAATTTCCAGAAAGAATCCTACTAGTGCCCTACTTAATAATAGCTTAGAATCACAATTTGATGATGACCTCACAGATGTGGTCATTTAGTGAACATGTCTTGAACTTGCAAGATACATAAGCCCATTTACTCTTTTTCCTACTGCAAGCTTGGGTAGGTCAAGGTTGATGAAGTGTTGCCAAAAAAGCAGCTGATCTTAAGCACTGGTTATTTCTAAGACTGGGGAGAACGGTTTCCTGATGTGTTTCAGGCCCTTTTCACAATAATGTTCCTGACACATAACCACTCTGCAGGAGAATGTCATCATAGACTGTTTCAAGGAACCTAGACCCTCCCTCATCCTCCAAATGCCATGCTTCTGAGAATTCTGATGACCTATTCTTGGCAAATGATGTCAGGTGGCTAGACTTCCCTCTCCCTCTCTTCTAACTTCACAGACAGGAAAATAGAGTCAGAGGAGACCAGGAAGCCAGTCATCATCACCACAGGGTTAGGACTGGTCATGAGCTCACATTTCCCAGCTTTTTCTAAGATACAGCTGGTTCTCACAGGTTGGTAAGTTTTAGTACAGAGTGTTCAGGACTGATCATTTTAAAAGAGAAAGAAATCGGGAATGATGTTGGATCATCTTCTCTCTCTCTCTCCCTCTCTGCCTATTTGTCTCTGTGTCTCTTAGCAATTGCCTGTCCTTTACTCCAAGAATTTGTAATAAAAATGAACTTCTAGGGGATTTATGATTAAGGGAACCCTACTGAAGACATATTGCCTTGAATGTGGAGTGATGCTCTTTGCTTTTAACTGGATAAATTAGGATTTTTGCCTCCATTAGCCAAGTTAAACAGCTTCTACTGGCTTCCTCATGGACCAGAGCAGCTGTGAGCTGGAGGGTTAGGCAAGAAAAGTTTGCCTTTAGGTCTCCCCCAAATGTAGTAGCAACCTCAAAAGCTCTACTGATCTTCAACTGGTATCACTGTCCCAATTGGTCAGGTTCATGACATACTGGTTGTCAAATATTTTGAAATTACCTCTCTCTCAAAGTAATGGCATTCTCCTTTCAGGTGGCAAACCCCTCACCCTTGTGTGTGACCGATGACTATATGTAGCTGTTGTCATTATTCTGCATCCAGAGAACCCCCTCCCACAGTAGGACCTCCCTCATCTCTGTTTCTATTGACTTGTGATTTTGTAGTCACCAAATACATCCATTGAGAAAAGGAATGTTGATTTAACCAGGAATTGTCCTGAGAGAGACTGGAGGAAGGAAAATGGGGACAGCAGACATGGCTGGTGGCCTTTACAAAAGGACTAGTCACAACCATTTAGGGACATTATAGTTCTTGCTCACTCAACAAAAGGCCAACATTGGGAGATGGTGGAAAGCTATGGAGTCAGCCTGAGTCCCTCAAATACCTGAGTCCCTCCCTGGGAGTCACTTACTGAAGGGGGGTTACAAACCAGTCAGTTAATAAGTCCCATCTCTTGATTAACTGCCTCACTATGGAACCAGCTAGTAGTGCACTAAGTTGGGGCCTGGAAAAAATTAGGTTGCATCCTACATGCTCAATCCATCCCAGGAACAGCTGCTATCACCAGGCTAAACCAGCCTGCCCAGTATCTACAAAAGCCCACTCCCTTTCAATAAGGGAGAAAAATCCTCTAATAGTGAACTAAGCAATGAGTTGCTATGATTTCACTACAGTAAATGCATCTGGTCTTAAATATGTTCCTGTAACATAAATTGCAAAACATTTTCTAAAAAAACATCAAGTTGCAGAATTTTAAAAGCGTATTTGATTGCCAGGTTTGCCAATTGGGTCAGTTTTCCAGGGCCTTATATTTCCCTCTTTTCAACGGGGAAGAGGAAGAGGAGGTGGCTGGCAGCTGGTGATTGAAACACAATTCTCCCCGGCATGTAAGTCTTGGCTGTCATTTCTGTGTTATCCCGGCCACGGTCCTCAGGCCCTCTCTGCAGTGTCTGGGCCAAGGACTGCCCTTCCTGATGGTTGCCCTCTGGATTCCACTAACGATCAGGGTGAAAACCACAGCAGACTGCACCTCTGGGGCTCTTCACAGCTTTGAGTTGTGGTTGAGTTTCAGAAAAGTCTGTGAGAAAATTGGATGAGGTACTACATAATTATCCCCATTTCACAGATTGGGGGGCTTGGACTCAGTGTTATAGGAAAATGAAGCAACCAGACACCGAGGGATTCTGGAGTACGAGGTTTATTATTTAACGTGCATGGGCCCAGAGGAGTCAGTCTCCAAATTCTGAGCCCCGAACAAAGGATTCTTGGGGAATATATAGATTAGGGGTCTTCCTGTGTACGTGACAAACGTGGGATACAGAAACAGAATGTGATAATTGTTCTATCAGCAGGGGTGCTAGTTTCAGTCCTCACTATCCAGCCACCCGCCCTCCCAGACGGCCCCATCATTCTCTCTAGGGCGCCTGGGGCCTGGGCAAATAAAGGTTAAACAGAGGTTTTTCAAAGTTTCCCATATCATCAGAGAACTGACTTATTCGAGGAAACATGGCTTACAGTGATCCTGGGTCCTAATCCCTGCTTGACATGGGAAAGTAAGGAAAGGAGTCTAACAAGGCAGTTTGTCCTGGTCCCCAGACCCACGGAGGTTGGGATTCTTTCATCTGATACTCCACATTTTAAATGCCACGTGATAAAAACATAGTGATCAAAGATCAATACATAGGATGAAATACATTATGATATTAATGTTCTACATTACATAATACAAATGAACACCTTTTTGATTATAAAAAGACTACAAAATACAATTTATAATTTTAGGATTTAAGTCCAGGATTTTTCATACTTATGGATTGTAGCCCATTAATATGGGTCATGGAGTCAATTTAATGGGTTGCTACCAGAATTTAAAATATATATATAGGGTAAGATAGGATAAACTAGAATGGAAAATATCACAGTGTGTTCTGTGTAGCAAAGGTAAGTATTAATCTCTAAATTCTTTTGTTCATAATTATGTGTTCTGGATCCCAATGTTAAAAGTATTTCTTACTGAATAGTCCTTCCTTTTTTCTCGTTTTCCCTCTCTTTTCTCATTCCTTCTCTCTCTCCTTCTCCGTATAAATAGGAAATGAACCTCAAAGTCAGCCGCCTTTGTCCTGTTTACAGGGACCATCCCCCATCCTTCCTGGCATTTCCTCACCCAAGGGTCTGGAGCAGGGACTCTGGAGTCAATATGTTTATGCTCCTTATTTTCCCTGTTGAAAAGGTTCTTTTGCAGTGTGGCTTTCGGGATAGGATTTTGCAAGTTCTCTCCACATTTTATAAATAACTTGTTCTATATCTAAACCATCATATTTCCATTTCAGGCAAAGCAACTCAAACTTGAAGAAATGAAATATCCAAGGAGAACCACGTTGTGCTTCATGATCATTGTGATTTATTCTTCCCTAGTTACAAAGACCTTGAATTCACAGTCTATTGTTCATCCTTTGGTGAGTAAATCCACTCCTGCGATATTTTTCCCTGTCACATTTTTCTGATTTCCTGGGAATGTCACAGACGGAAATTGCATAGTAACTTTTCTGAGGGTCTTTGAGAAAATGTTACAGATGATGTGGGGAGTGGTAAACATAAATGGATATTGGTGTATGTACTGGGTCACAGCTTGTCTGAAACCAAGGGAACATCCCCCTGGTTTTCCCTCCTTAACGGCATTGCCTTCTCCAGGCCTGGCACTCTACTCTGTGAAACTGACAACAGTCACTGTGAGGCAGATTTTGAAGATGGAGAAGCACAGATGTTCTCAAAGGGTTCATTTTAACTTGTGCATCAGACAGGAACACATTTCAAAAGGTGTTAATTGTGTGGGTGATAATAGACATATAGCTGAAGGAGCCGTAGATATCATCTAAGCTTTTTGCTGACAAATTATCCAGGTCATTTTGCCTTTGGTAAATTAGTAGGAATTTACCTTGACTACAGGGGGGATAAGTACTCCATTATTATTATTTTATTATTTGTATTTTTCACATATTATGGAGTTATTTCTTCCTTCGCCTATTCCATGCAGCAGAGACAAAGCCTGTCAGGGGTTATGAAATCTTGGGAGGCTGGTGGAATACTTCTCTCCTGTCTCAGTTTCTTCCTCTCCAAAACAGTGATTATAATAGTACCGACTTCCTGTGATTGCTATGATAATTAAATTAGGGAATATTATAAGCAGCCTTAGAACAGGCCCTGGCATCTATGAAATGTTGTATCACTGTTTGCTGTTATTATTTCTCCTCCTGTGATGTATTTTTTCTGCTGATTTTTTAAAAAGTATTTCAGTGCTGTGTTTTTTAGTCTGTCGCCATTGTTCAGCTCTGTTTATTCATTTTAGCATTGTAAAATATCTCTTTTTGCCGTGCTCGGTACTTTTTAATTTTAATTCATTGTCTTCTATTCCAATTGTCAGCCCTGTTTTTGATTTGTGGTCTCCTATCTTTGTCTTTTATTTTTTGTTTAGCCTTTAATATATCACTTTGCTTTAATAGTTTGTATGTAAACATGTGTTTAAAGCCTTTTTTCCCTTTGAAATCAAATCTGAGTAAACCCTACTGATTGTGGAGTATAATATATTCATATTTAATGTCATATTTAAAATGTTTGATCCTACTTTCAAGATTTTGTTTTATGACTTTATGCACTTCCTATTTTTTGTTTTTGTGTCTTTCGCAGTTTCACCTAGGTTTCCTTGTCTTTTCTGTTACATCTCTCATGACTTGGGTGGGATAGCTGTGAGTCTCCCCAACTCCGGTGTGCAGGTGTAACCCGTACAGTCAGTGCAGCGACTTGCTCATCTACACACCGAGGAGGCAGATGCCTACGTTGCCTGTGGACTCTCAGGGTCAGTGCAGATCTCTAGTCATCCCAGGCATGTGGGGAGGAGGCCGGACCGAGAGGCGATCTCAGCAATGGGGTAGCTTCACCTGCGCTCCAGAGGGTCCTAGTGCCATGGTTGTAGCCGCTCCCTCCTGCTGCGCCAGGCTGGCCCTCAGCACAGTGACCCTAACAAATCCCCTCCCTCTGCCTGGTGGCACAGACTGTCAGGAGATAAGCCACTCACCTCGCAGAACTGCTAGCAGAATTTGAACTTGACCCTTCTGGAAGGTCCCACCACCACCCCCAAAGGACTCCCTTTTCCTCCCTAGATTTGCATTCAAGATATAATATCTTCGTACAGCCCAAGGCCAAAGACCCCCCTTGGAGCGGTGCACTTGAGCCTGATCAGCTTACATGGCCCTCAGCTGCCTCCCAGCTCCCACGGCTGGCCTTCTACCATGTTAAATACAATGCATGGTGATGAGATTTTTAAAAATTATAGCTCTTTGAATAAAATGTATCATTTGACAATTTCTAAGTAGTGTTAAATGTATTCAGGGTCTTGCAACCAATCTGCAGAATTTTTCATCTTGCAAAACTGAAAATCTATATCTATTAAATAGCAACTTTGCATTGCTCCCTTCCCCAGCACCTGACAACCACTGTTCTACTTCCTGTCTCTAATTTTGACTGTTCTAAGTACTTCACATAAATGCAATGACACACTATTTGTCTTTTGGTGACTGGCTTCATTCACTTAGGATAATGTCCTAAAAATGAATCTATGCGGTAATAATATGCATCAGAATTTCCTTCCTTTCTTAAGACTAAATAATGACCCATTGTATGTATATCCTACATTGTCTATACTCATTAATCCATTGATGGCCGCTTGGGTTGTTTTTCACCTCCTGGTTATTGTGAATGATGCTGCTGTGAACATTGGCGTGCACATAGGGGGTGATGGGCTTTTAAAGTCTGATGGTGCAGCTTGTCAAACTTCAGCGTGTGCGTGAATCCACGTGGGGACCTTCTCCGAGTGCGGATTTCAACTCAGGAAGTCTGGAGTGGGCCCCAGCACTGCAGTTCTGACAAGTTGCCTTTACCCCCGTTCCAAAGACCACGCTTTCGGCAGCAAGGCTATAGACTCTCCACCTTGGCCTCAGCCCTGAGTCTGAAGTCCAGCTCTGACCCTCGCTAGCTTTGGAAACTGAGTCACATTTCATTATCTCCCTTTACCTCTTCCCTCTACATAACATGAGAATAAACAGTATCTCCTCATTAGTTTATTGGGACGATGAAACGTTCTGATATGTGCAGCACGATGACTAGCACAGAGCATGTACTTAAGATTTGCTAGTTATTTGTACTATTATAGTAAAAATAAACCTGTGTTAGTTAGAATGCCTGTGTCAGGAGACATTCTAACAGGACCCTTGCTGAGACAATTATTTAACGTGGAGGCAAAGATCTTAAATCTGGGATTCCAGGTCAAGACAGAGAGGAGTGAGTACGGGGCCTCCATGAGGAGGTGTGAGATCTGGTGACAGTGGGACGTTTGAGGACCCCCTTGCAGCCAGGTTCCAGAGGAGTTTTCTCTTCTCCGTGTAAAATGTCACCTCTCGTTCCCAACTGATTTTCCAGGCCACTGACCCCAGCTCCACGGATATTCGTAAAGTCATCATGTCCAACAGGTGGGGTGTTTCCTGCAGTTTGTGACCTTGTGTCTTCCGGCTGAAGCCTGGCCATCAGGAAATTCCTTGTGGACGGAGCTGGCCATTGTCACTCAGACAACTCATCTGGGCTCTTCTACATGGGGAAGCTGGGGGAGGCCCAGTCGGAGGTTCTGTTATCTTGTCTAAAGTTAATATTTAGCTGAGTATTGAGAACCCTTGGCAGGATCTGTGTTCCCTCCTGAGTTCTCTTCAGTACACCCAAGGTTTAAGAAAAAGGGTGAGTTCCGGGGTCTCAGAAATCCCAGAACTGGGTAACACGAGGACTCAGGAGGGCAAAGCTAGCCCCGAATGAGCCCCGGGCCATTCAGACACAAGGGCACACTCCACTGCTAGAGACTGCACAAGCATTCGGTGTGTCTCAGCACACCATTTTTCACAATGTAAGACACTGAGGCTTAGAGTGAGTGCACGGCTTTTCCAACCAGGAGGAGCCAGGGGCTGTGGGATTCAGTTCTTGGTGTGACTCCAGCATCTGCCTTGTTGAAGTTCAGGCCCCATGATTGGCTCCTAGTCCCTTCTCCATTCCGGGAGAGTCACACCACCACTGGGGAACTCCTCAGAGGTCTTCTTGCTCTCGGTATGTTTCCCTTCATTCTCCCCAGTGATTTCAGGGCTAAAAACAAAATGTAGGCTATTCTCACAGAAAGTTGTGAATCCTCATCGGGCAATAGAGAGGCACTAGGTGACAATTGTAGGAGCAGCCCTTCCTTTGCAAGGATGTTCCCGAAAGTTCCAGATAATCACCAAGATTGAGGAAAGAGTTAGGAAGCACCATTATCCAAAATGTGTTCTCACATTGAGGGAAGTGCTAGTTCAAAAGGCAGCTTTCTTCACCCAGACCCCCACCCAGACCTGCTAAATCATTCTACAGGGAGAAGTGGAGAAAGACCCTTATGGTCATGAAGATTTCAAATATAATACTTTACACGAGAAAAATGTAATGTATCTTCATTTCAGGGCACAACTGCCAGCAGCAAGTCCACAATTCTTTAGCCCCACTGGGAAATGGAGAAAATATAATCTGGGTCTGGATGAGCTGACCACAGGTGATGGCCAATGGTCATCTTCTCTCGGGCTGAGTCCCCCAAATACAGTCTGTGAAGAGTGGACAGAGGAGGCTGCCGTTGGCTCCCCACTCCCCACCCACAGGGCCCCAGGAGGACAGAGGCAGGAATGTAGCAGAAGACCCCCTACCTCCACCTAAGGCCAAAGCAGGCCCCTGGGGAAGCTGGACAGGAACCAGCCCTGTGTGTTGACTCTGCTCCTTCCTGGTCTGGTTCCTGCATTTTTTGCTACAGCTGAAACAGCCTCATTGCTAATGAAATAGCAACTGGGCTTTTGAAATTTCAATCATTATCTAACACTGCTCTATTCATTTCTTTAAGGACATTTATGAACTCTCAGATGCATAGTTTCTCCTCAGTTCCTATGGATATTAATACTAGTCATTGAAAAGGAGGGGATAGGAGAAGGCACTAGAGAAAGAAAAAGTACAAGAGAGCATCTGGGTCCCTGAGACATACCACAGTTTCCTGGGGTACTCCTGATTAAATGATGCAATGCTTGTGTGGACTACTGCAGACTTTGGCGCCAGGCAATCTGGGTTCAAATCCTGGCTCTGCTATTTAAAGGCTGTGTGACCTTCACCAAGTTTTTGACCTCATCTTACCTGTATTTTCTCACCAGGTCCAACAAAATGTGGATAATAGCAGTAGCCACATCTTAGGCTGTCATGAGAATTAAACAAGTTAGCACATACCAAATACTTAACAGTGTCTGACACAGGGTGTTGAATACATCTTAGTAATTAGTGTTTTTGTTTTCATTATAATGTGAGATAACTGGAAGATAGTAGTAGACTCCACAGATAGCAGAATGAGCTTTGCCTTGGGTGAGGTTCATGGGCATATAGAGTTCATGGTAAAAGACACTCCTCTGTGGGCAGGAGTATCTGGGGAGACTTCATAGAGGCTGGGCTCTTCTACTGAACCTTGAAGGGAGTCTGCATTGGGAAGTACCTCAGAGGAAAGCCCCCCTGGGGGCAGGGATGAGCTAGGAGGCACCTTTCAGATCAAGGTGTGATTACCAACTCTAGAGCTGGCAGCCATCCCAGCGGCAAAGCCAAGCAATACCAGTTCTTAAACAAGAAGCTACGGGACGACAGCAGATTGAGCTTTACAGAGATGAAGCAAGAGGCGGTGTGCAGAAAGGGGGGCCCGTGTGAATGGTGCTCCCAGAACAACGTGAAGCCCTGTCTTGTTACCAAAACTAGTTCCAGGGCTTTGCATTTATTAAGCATTTGACACCCTCCCGAGGCTAGTTATTTTTGTTTCTGTATTATAAGTGAGCACTAAGACAGAGATATTCAGTAACTTGCCCAAAGTCACACAGCCATTTCACCGCAGAGCTCAAATTTGAATTCAATGTCTGCAGAGTCCTCGTTATTAACTATCACTCTATGCGATATAACTAACATTTATGAAGAGCATACTATGTGCCACATTGAGTTTGCTCAATTTTCATAACAATTTGGTAAGGTCAGTACCATTATTATTCCATTTTAGAGAAAAGAACACTGAGGCTCAGAGAGGATAAACAAATTCCTCAAGGTCACATAGATACTGAGTGGTGCAGACTTGCCCCCAGGCAGTCTGACCCAGAACTGGATGTCGTGATCCCGGCCATAGGTAGCAACCATCCTGCAGAGAAAGGACCGGGGAAGGAGAAAAGAATCCCTAAGCCTGGTCAATCTAAGTCACCCTAGTGCCGCAGAAATACTGGTGTGGGGTCAGGCTGAGTGCCAAGAACAGGTCGTGAGACTTGTCGGAAAGGTCACTGGACTGACTCAGGGTTCAAGTCTTAGGCAGAGTGCACAAGTTGAGAACACCACAATTTATATTTCTTGGCAGGACTCAAACTGCAGGAACTCTGAGAAACTCAGATATGGTGAAAGTTCTTCCACTCCTGGATCTCGAGACTGGTCTATAAAAAGTGAATTCTCAGGTCGCAGTACAGAGTCAATTTTGTGTCATTTTCGCCATCACTGAGTTGCTGTTTACTTGGCACCCACTGGGCACAAAGGTGCTAATGCCAAATCTGCAGTCCTAACCTCAGTTCTAACATTTGGGGCATGCGATCAGAAAGTCATAGTGAAAAAACGTCTCTACCACTCACTGACAATTTTGTAAAATGTTCTTTCAGAATCTCCGTGAACATGAGCTAGCAGGGGAGGAGCCACTTAGGCAAAAACGAGCAGGTATGTAAACTCTTTGCTTGGCAATCACTTCTAGTGTGTCTGATTAAATGATGTTTGCTCTGGCTTTTGAAAACACTGCGATCCACATAATTCAGTCTCCAAACACATCAGTGTTCAATATCTAGAAGTAATTACAAAGGACCACCATTCTCTCCTCTACCAAATGGTATTGAATGAATCTTAGCAACGTCCTGGCTAATCCCCTTTTCCTCTCCCACAGCCTGTGCCTGTCTCCTCCGCTGCCCTCCACCCACCACTCTCTATGCAGCAGCCTTTCCTTTGGCCTTTCTTGACCTCTTCTCTTCTCACTTGTCACTTTATATGGTGCATCGACTTAACCATCAGACTCAGGTCCTTCTCCTCTGTCTCCCACTTTCATTTTCCCAATACATTTCAAAAGATGGTCTGGAAAATATAGGACTCTGACCTTTGGAGGGTTGAGGGCAGGAGAGAGCCGTGGACACTCACGTGCACAGCGACCCTTGGTGCCCTGGCCCACGTGCAGGGCCCGGGCAGGTGTCGGTGTACATGTGCTGGCTGGTTTCTCCCAGGACCAGATTCTCCTACTTCCCTCATAAGAATCCTTTAAAAGCATCAATGTGATGCTTTTATTTCCCTGGATAAAATCCGTGTGCTTTCAATTGTCTTGAAAATGAAATCTAATCACCTGCTTGAGTCCTACTGAACCAACCCTGCCTGCTTTTCCCCCCTGTTCTCTTCCCCATTCCCTTTCACACGGGCAGTGCTCTGCCCACTGACTCCTACCCTTTGATTGTCTAAGGGACTTTGACTTAAGTCTCAATTCACATGGGTTCCTGCCCATGTAAGGCCTTCCATCAAATCCCCAGACAGGGTGGGGCAGCTTTTCTGGGTTCTCATTGCCCCTGATACATTCCCATAGCACAAAAGTGTCCCAATGCATTGTAATTATTTTGCTTCCTGTTTGTCATCCCCAGTAGACATGAGCTCCCTTGAACTCTCTTCCTCTCTCCAGCCTGGCTTCTGGCCCAGTTTCTCAATGAGTGAGTGAGCAAATGAAGAGAGGGCATGTCTCTGTCATAGCTGCCCCTTTGTGAGTTCAGGGGATACATTCCTATTGTTGAGTCTGCTGGCCTCGTGGCTGGACCAACTATGTAGAAGGTAAAACTTTTAAACTACAGCATTGTGACTGAATCCTTTTCCAGACGTGCTGTGACTTGGTCTACTCTGTCGCATGGTCTGAAAGAGATGCTGGGCTACCAAAGGGACTAGGCTTGCCCTGAGGTCTGGGGAGGGTACCTGCTAGAAGCCCTTCACAGCACAGCAACCAGACGCCCTGATGGGAAATGAGAACTGGATCACATTTTATCAAGCTCTTGAAATCCTCGCTGGACGGGCCTACCACTGATTATTTTCTTTTCCTTTTCCCCTTTTCTTTCTCATTTTTTCTCTTTGTGCTTCTGTTTTAGCCTCGTTTCTATCCCCAAGAGCCCCTTGCTCCCCTTTGCTCTCCTCCTTGCTTGAAGTGGTCTGCAGCACAGATCGCACTTTTCTACGCTTTAAAACAAGTGTCATTGTTTCGTCCCCATCCCTTCCCTGCGCCCTGTGACAGGAGCAGGGCCTGGGCGTCCCCATGCAGCATTTTGAAAGACTTTTCTTTTTAAAATCAAACTGTTGGTGGGTGAGTTCCAGCTCTGGGTTTGTGCTAGCATCTTCTGGGGCTCAGGCTGACCGCTTCCTCAGGGGCAGTTGGTGACCAGACAACTGTGAAAGTACTGTCTTCCTGCACTTCCGAGAGGACCGTCTGTGACCCATGGCAACAGCATGGGAGGAAACCTCGTCTACATCTGAGGATTTGAAATTCCAAAGTTTTCCCAGACGTGCTTGCATTGAAAACATTCATGATAATAATAAACCACCACAAAAACCTGCTTTCCATTCCTTATACGAGGCCCTCCATGCTCTTGCGCCTCCAGAGTCGTTTTGGATCTGTTACTCAACTCACCGCCTGCAGGAGATGAATTGGCCTTGGTACTTTCACAAAATTACTGAAGTAAGAAATGGCCGTGGAAAGGCCTGGGCACTAGGCAGCGGGTGCCTGGAATGTGCGTTGTAATAAGGGTGTCACTTTCCAGGGGAACTATGAGAGGCAGCAATAGGAGGGTGACATGCAGCAGAGGCCACACGGACGGGTCTCTGTTCTGCTTGGTGTGTGAAGTAAGTGGGTGACAGCACTGGGCTCTGATTTTTAGAGTGGTCTCCTGTTTCACGGATTCACGCGGCTCCCTCTCCGGAGTCTCAACACCAGAAAGGGTCAAACAGTGGTTCTGAGGAAGAGAGAATTCTCCAAAGAAATTTTCTTTTGAGATACTGGGCCAGGTTTTTAGGGTTTGGAATAGAATTGCCTTTAAAGGTAGGATCATTAATCATATTTATTCTCAGAGCACTATGGACTTCTTCCTAAACCACTTTGCTCAGTTATATGGCTCCTTGGGCCCTTGACATACCTTTATGTCTGTTTTATATATATATTACATATATATATGTAATAGATGTGATGTGTGTAGACACACACACATGCACAACCACATGTACACACACATATATATTATACACAGCCACATACATGCATATCACACACAAATATATGTATGCATATTTATATGCACATATATATCACATCTATCCCACATATTTACATATAAATATATGTGTATACCAAATGATGTATTACATATAGAGTACCTATGTGTATATGTATCGCATATATCATACACATATGTTATTACATTATAAGTTTGTTGGGATGATTAAATAACATGTGCATAATTCTTTAAAAATGTTAATGAGGTTATTTGTTTTTTGTTTGTTTTACTACTCTTTTATTAACAACAAAATTAGTTGCAAGGTTCACAGAGGTTAATGGTCTGCTCGGGTAAAAGCACAGTCCACCCAGCTCTCCCTGAGTCAAAGTCCATGCTGATGCGTGTGTATCTGGCCGGTGAGATCCCATGATTCTTGGAGCAGCTTTGTAGAGCAAGGGGCACAGCTACCACTGTCTTCACTGCACTCAGAAAAGAACTTTGTACGAGGCTGACTTTGATACTTTGGGTGTATGAAGGGTAGGACTTCACAGCCCAGGGTTTCCTGACATAGTGCTTCCCCACTGTCCTCATCCACACCTGCCAGGTAAGCCCCAGCCAGGGGTTCTGGTGCTTACCCGTATGAGCAAACCTTTTTTAAAACCTAGTGGGAGAACAGGATCCTTTGACTAGGATGCTGCCAATTTGCTACCTGCTAGAACATGCCAACAAAATAGAAAAATGAGCATAAAAACAGCCTTAATATTTACTTGCTACAGAGCTGTGGGGGAGAAATGAAAGCCAAGTCCAGTAATAAAGAAGCATTGTCCCCTTTGGTCAAGAGAAAGCCACACCCCACCTCATTTCTCCTGGGTGAAGTTAGCATCTTTCATTCTTTTGCAGGTGGGAAACTAATTATGGGTCTACTTAGGCTCTGACTTTTGAGAAGCCATAATTCCTATTAGCATTGTGGGGCAAAATGGTATTGTTTGCTCTAAAAGCTGTGATCAAGATAGAATTGCTTGTCGCAGTTTGTGTCCAACTTTCCAGAAATGTCTCTTTAAGACAAGTGCTGTGTGGTGGCAGTGATTTACGAGGAAGGAGAGAGGAAATCCTGGTTGGCCGGTGCCTCCTGGGCTTGCCAATGGGCCTCCACCTAGGACACAATAACACCTGGAATGTGCTACCTTCCCCTGGGGCATCGGTGAGTCAGACAAATTCAGACAAAACAACAGGAGCGTGAAGGAGCCCAAGACAAAGAAAACCCATTAAACTGAAATCAGACGGTCCAGAGACAGCAGAGGAGTGTGGAAGGCCTCTGAAATACACACTCGCAGAGAGGTGGGAACAGTCTTCTGTTCCTCCCGGGCCGCTTGTCACCTGAGGCAGGACAGGGGTATCACCTTCCCAAGCTCCGAAGTCCTCAGGTTTGAGAGAGATGACGGAGTAGGTTTGGCATTTTTACTGCAAACCGTGGGCCTGTCTGAGGCTGTGAGCACAGTACGCCTGTGTCCCAGCACTGAGGACAGTGCCCGGGAAGTAGGCACTCAATAAATAGTCAAGTTACTTATAGATCAATAAACCAAGGAACGATCTCAGCAAAGGTTGGTGTCAAAATCCATGAATGTCAGTGGCAATGGGTCATTGTGTTTTTCCTCACTGTGGATTTCTAAGTCATTTATTATGTTGAATGAAACTGAACAAAGTTTTAGATAATTCTCCCATTTATTATTAATAATTTTGCCTTTCAATTGAATTTTATTTTAAAATGTACTTTAAGAATTGCACGCCATGTTCCAAAGACACATCTAACAAGAATACCATATATCTTTGTGGTACTTTAAGATTTACAGAGTGGTCACTTTCATTACCTTCTTTTATTTGAGTCACTGCAGGGTATGATTAAAATAAAATGAACTTTGGAGTCAGAAAAATGTGGTTTCGAATTTTAGCTCTGATGTTTGCTGTTCATGTGGCTTCAACCCTTTAGACCTCAGTTTTGTCATCTGTAAAATGGGGGTCTGTATACTATCCTCATGGCCCTAGAAATGACCAGGTAATGGATAAATGGCAGCTGCTCTTATTATTGTTACTTTCATTATGATCACCTGGGATCCATTTGGTGTCCCTGAAGAAAGAGGTGAGCAAGTATCAGCTCCCTCAGACAAAAGAGGAAAGGTAAGAGTGAGCAAATATGCTTGGAGACGGCATGATTGTTTGCCCCCACAGGAGCACCAGCAGATGGCGCTGCAAGCAAAACGCAAAGCTAAAGCCAAAAACATGGTTAGAAGCTAATCTTGGTTCCCCAAGATTATCTTTTCAGTTTCCTCATTTGTATTAGAATGTTAGACCCCAAATGTGCTTGATGACCAGAAGCACCAGTGGGAACTGAAAAACATACAGATTTCTGGGCCTAACCCATGAAGCTTCTACTTTGGCTCAGGTCTGTTGAAGTTCTAAAATACTTGCTTGTGTAAATTCCCTAGGTGTGCAAAATCATCAGTCAGGTGTGGGCACCCCTGACGTAGGTGATTCCCTATGGCAAGGCCATAGCCTTCTGAGTTATTATGGTGTTGTTTTATTTTGTTTTGTTTTTGAGACTGTTTGGAAGAACCATTTTAAAGAAGACATTTCCTTCTCTATTAGAGATTCCCACATCCTCCGTCTCTAGGGAGAACTGACACTCAAGATGAGGGTTACTTTGGAACTCCTATAGAAGTTATTGAGGAACAGAAAAGGCAGATAAGGGACAGTGAGCCCTGGAGGCTAGTGCTTTTATTAATCATTGCACAAATCCCATAGATTGGAACTCGCTAAAGTCTCAGGAACTTCCCTCTTAGTATTTTAAGCTTTTGGCTCACCTCCTTGAAAGACCTCAGAGGAGTAGATCTTCCTAACTGCCTTGGTTTTAGTGGGGAATGATGACGTCCACCAATTACCATATGCTTTTCAGGCACGGGCTTGTTTTACAGTTATGCCTATAAAGAGCACAGAGTGGTGGGCTCAGGGGTGGGTGGCAGACATGGCCCTCAGGCAGGCATCGGTGGTATGCTGCTATCAAACCCCGGGGTGATATTTGGTTATCATAGACCTCACTGATCTCAAACTGCTCACGTCCAGGAAATCCTGTTTACATTCATGGCAGGAGAGTAGACTGATGCAGCAAAGAGGAATCATCTGGAGAACACAAACATTACTTTTCAGGAAAAAGAATGCGCTCTAAGGCAGACCTTGCAGATAAATATCGGGCAGCTGCCCCTTTGCAAATGTTCCCAGCGGGCAAGTACTGTGTTCAGAGTTTGGATCACACTTAATTTGGATCACACAAACTGAGATAAGCAGTTCCACCTCCTCCCCTCAGGTAATTTGTTTTCATCACAAAACCATTTGAGAATCAGGGGAAAAACAAACAAATAAATAAACAAATGGGAAATTTGAGGCAATGGCATAATATCAGGACGGACCGAGATTCCACATTGGGTCTTGAAAGTCACTTGTTCTATAGTAAATATATTTTTGTAAGGAGAAAATATACATTAAGTGTATTCTTAATTTTTAAGAAAATCTGCACAGACTTTTTTTTTACAGTTTACATTAAGTTGAATGGTGCCAAAAATGAAATAATTCTCAAGGTAAATGAGTTAAACCAACATCCTAAGACAAACATACTTTGCAACTCTAAGTGAACAAACATTACAGTTTTCTGCCACAAGAATTTATCAATTGGAATTCCCCATAGTAAAATTACTCTATTTTAGTGTTTCACATAAATAATTCTTAGAACATTTAAAGCAAATCTTGCAATATTATGGGAGACATTCTTTGCCATTTTAGAAAATAGACCTAGAATTTTAATTGTATGATAAAATAGGCATCGTAGGTCCAGATTTTACTTAAATTTTAAGGTGATAGTTTTGTAGGTATTCACTTACCTTTTCCATATGTAACTGACAAAATAAACTAGGCCACAACTTGCCTTCTCAATGTGTCTCCGTAAAAAATGTTCCTAACTTTTTAAGGTTGTCCATGGCTTCTGCTCCTGTTATATATTTCAGCCAAGAATGAGCCAAAAATTCTGGCTTCGACAGAAAGGTGAATCTGCGACCCAATTCAAATAGTCACAGGTTTAACAAGAATTGATTGGACACCCATTTACTGTGGCGTGAGCTCCATGCCAGGTGGAGTGAGCAAGGCCGTGAGAAGTGAAAGAAACTGTTCTTACCCTTGAGAAGCTTGCAGCTAGTGGGCCAGACATGATGTAATATATGAAACCATAAAAGAACATTTAAGTATGTATTTAAAAAAATACATATATAAATACATTTTAAAATATGTTTATATATAAATATATTAATGTTCAATAAATTGTATATTTTGTAATAAATGACATACTTATATGCAATAAATTATATAATGAAATTATAGCAAATATTCATTATTAAAATAGATTTATTAGATATATATTTATATAAAATATATTTATATGTGAATATATATATTTAATATGGTCTGCCCTGCCTGCAGTGGGCATGGGTTGGGGAGCAGATTCATCTACAATGATAGCCAGACTACCAGCCTGGAGACATTTTAGGAAGGCAATGAAGAGCTAAAGATCTCTTTTATTTTACTTTCCAACCTGCCAGTTCACTTTTGTTGAGTGTGTATCATGTTCTGGACACTGGCCATACAGAGTGAAAACAAAGAGTCTACTGTGTGCCCAGACTAGGAGCAAAGGGAATTAACTAGATGACTTTTCCCAGATGTCTTCAAGTTTAAATAGTCCGGCTCTCAAAGTACGTGCATGTCAGTCGAATGGTGTTTGAAACATATTGGTCATCCTGGTGAGTCAAGACTTTTATTGGCATTTATTGTCTAGACTGTTGCCAAAACTTTCCTACTAGGTCTCTCTGCTTCTGTTCTTGCCCCATTATAGTCCATTCTCCACATGGAGGTTCTTGGCCTTGGACGCCAAGAAGGGTGTGGGAATGGAGAGGAAGGACAGGTCCTGAGCTTAGCCTGTGAGTCTCTCAAATAGCCAACAACCACTGTGAGGAGACCAGGCAGATCAGTTGCCTCACTCCTTTAAGTAGTAAAGTCTCAGGGAGGAAGCATCATGAAGGGGGTCTTGGTGGTAGTCAGTGCACAAACTTTTTTTTCTCTCAAATTTTCATTAGAAACTTTTAAGGAATGGTGTGTCCAGCATCCGCATATTCCTGTCATTACCTTTAAGTACTTAAATGCCTATCATGTTCTCCCTCCACCACCAATGCTTAAATTCTCACAGCCTTCGTATGCTTTCATTTCAGTTGCTACGAGTCGTCCTGCAGCTAAAGAGTACACTGTGGACATTGAGATCAGTTTGGAAAATGCCTCCTTCCTGGACCCTATCAAAGCTTACTTGAACAGCCTCAGTTTTCCAATTCAAGGCAATGACACTGACCCAGCCACCAACATTTTGAGCATTGAGCTGACAACAGGTGAGTGAAAGACCCTTTGCTTTAGAACGGAGGATTGGGCATATCAGGAGAAAGGCAGTCTGAGCTCATTACAAGTAAAAAAAGTATATCTAGTAGACTAGTGAAAAGACCCAATGGGCCTGATATGTGATTTTACAGCTTCATAGCCTTCTAGATGAAGTCCCTATTGGTAGACTCTGCAACCAGTTTGCTTATTTTAAATGGTGACTAAATACTTATTTGGTGGTTTGTTGGTTGGTTGTTACAAAGTGGTTCCAAGATATGGCCATGACAAACTACTGGATTCTCTTCCCCTAGGCAATCAGTAGATATAGAAGGTACTGGTTCAGGGTATTAATAAGTAGCAAGTTCCCTTCTTTTTGGAATCATGGGTCAGGAAATAGGAACCAGGTATATGCCTAGATCAGAAGCAAGGCATGAAGAAGAACCTCCAAGACTATGGGATTAGACTTTCTGGCTCCTTTCGAGGTCATGCTAGCTAGTTCTCCTTTGTCTCTGGGGACCATCACCTCTATGCCATAGCAGGTATAAGATGGTACAATCCCTTTTCTTATAAAAAGTTACTGCTTTGTAAATTGCAAAGCACTAAGATATTAAGCTTTACTATTCTAAAATGGTGGCAAGAATAAAATTCTTATTTTTCGAGATCCTTTTGAATTTTCATATTTTAAATAGTCAACACAATGTCACACTATGCAGCTTCATTTTTAGTTCTTAAGACAGTTCTTTAGTTCTACTTGAATCTGAAATCTCCATCTTATAGCTCCCTTTGGACTCTATTCTCTGCCAAATTCTACATTAGCCTTAATGTCCTCGAGTTACCATGAGCTTCTCTGATCAAATGCCAGTGTGCATTGTGGGTCATCCACAAGGTTCCTCAAATGATTTGCTCACAGGACTCTTCTGTAGAATGTTTTACAAAATAGTTATGTTGGAACAACAGAGGAAACACCTTCTATGTCTCCATTCAGCATAGATCTGCGTTTAAAATTATTTCCCCTATTTTGGGGAAAAATTAATAATTTTATAGATTTTAAGTCAATTTTGTTTTGCTTTCCAATATTTTTAACGGAAAACTTTGGTATCTATTTGGATACTATAAAGCAAATCTAATACACAAAATAGACCAATAAGTGTCACATACATAAAGTTTTGTTTTTGTTGAATAGCATGTGAGTGTAAACATGATCTTCAGTTGTGAGCTAATGTTATATACACTCAATATAGACATATGAACACATGCTTCCTGGTTTATTTTGTTCTACTGAAGGAGGTGTGATTTCAGGGGCTCCACTGTGTATGCCATTTCTCTTTTAAGATAAAAAGCCCTGGGAAAGTTTAATTTATCTTGCCAGCAAGACTGGCCATTCTCACGCTGAAGGAGTGAAACCTTCCTTGGTAGCAAACTGAGAGAACCTCAGGCTCATGGACCTCAGAACTAGCAGGGAAGGCTGGGGAGAGCTGACCTGGGACAGGAATGGGTGAGATGTGATGGGTGGGTAGTGAAGATTAGACTTTCTGACCATGATACTAATGTCTAAGCACCCCCACATTTTCTCCGTTCCCCTCTTCCCATGCCTCTCCCTGCCCATTCTTTCAACAGCTTACCTTATGATCCTCTCTCTTTTTTTTTAACAACAGCAAACAAAACTAAGAGCCAGGCAGTGTATGTAAAGCACAAAATATACCTGGAATGCAGTAGATGGTCTGGTGATTGTAGCTTTCGTCACCCTCTTAAAGCACCCTCTTATTTTATTTTGGTTAAAAGTTCTTAAAATACTACCTCCACTCCTCCCTCAAAAAGTGAACAAATGAAAGCAAAACAAAGCAAAACATATGTTACCAGTGTGACTTCAGGTCAATAGGAGATTTTGACAAAGGGGGTCTTATTGTCTCCCTTCAAATTCCCCTGCCAATTCACCACTGTCACCCAGCAGCCTGGGTTTCCTCTGTTCCTTATACCTCTCTGCTCAGCTCCCATGACTTCCGGAGTGCAGGGCTGCATCTGTGTCCAAGGGTCCACTGGAACTCAGCTGTCACTCCTACTTCAGGAACAATTACTGGGTGGCTTTCCTTTGGGTACTCACTCTGTTGGGCCTTTGCCCAGGTGCCCATGTGCAGAACAAACAGCATCCAGCGATATTACGTTGCTCCAGTTTTAGAAGTAAATTCAAAGCTCTCTGTTTTCGGAGCATTTTTCAGTGTCCCTGTGGGAACAGAATCTGTTTGGGCTGCTCACATTTGACATGCAATGTAAAAGGCACAATTTTACTTGTACTCTATATTTGCTATCCGTTGCTGTGTAACAAATGACCCCAAAACTTAGCACTCAAACAACAGACATTTATTATGCCACACAGTTTCTGACGGCCTGAAATCACTTCCATTATAGTCTACTGGTCACACAGACCAACCCCAGTACAATAGGAGAGGGTGCTACGAAAGGATGTGAAGACCTCCAGAGCCGGGGGTGGTCAGGGGCCATCTTGGAGGCTAGCTATTATACACTGTGTGTCCGGAAATCTGTCTATCACAATGTCATTTTAGACATCCCATGGGTGAGTTGGAGGAGTCACCTTGTAGATGCCCATGACTACTAGCATGATGATGCATACAGGGATGAATCATGGGACTCGCATGTGATCCTGCTGACTTCCCAGAGGACAATATGGAATCAAGTTAGCCTAGAAATAATACTTGTAGTCCGTAAATGCAAATGTGGTGACCACCTTCTCTTTCCTCGCTGCTCCGGTTGATGCTAGTCTGCAGACCTACTGGGAATGAAATCTGGTGCTCCTGTGAGACAGGCTATAGGTGGCCTCAAGAACAGTGCCTTCCCAATGTCACTTGTCAGGACCATGACAACTCCCCTGCAGGGCACCATTGCAATTGCCTTAAAGGACTGCCCCCCAGAGGACCTTTTTGCCAGCTCCGGGGAGGTAAGTAACTGCTCCTTTTTTTCAGTGGCTATTTCATATCAGATCAAGTAAATGTTTCTCCGTCCTGTGTGTGCTTAAGTGCTAACAAGAGATTTTAAAATACCGCCTCTTTTTTCCAGCTGTAACCTTGAGGATGTCAGTCAGACTCAACGTGGGCTTTCAAGAAGAGCTCAGGAACACTTCCTCTGCCCTCTACAGGTCCTACAAGACTGACTTGGAAACAGCGGTAGGTTTGGGCCTCGGGAGCCTCCTGACCAGACACTTTGGACCGAACTAAATCTGTTGTATTAACTATGGATAGTTTGCTTGGATCGGTCAGAATTTAGGAATGTGGATGTCGAAATTACTCCTACACTTCTGGGATGGTGAAGTAAAAATTGCTCAAATCAAATAGTGTTCAGGGGATGATTTGACATCATCTTGACCTATAGGTGGGACTGCTTCCCAGGATAGAACTGATTCAGGTAAGATTTGATGACATAAACTCACTGAAACCTATTCAGTGGCCCATGAACTTGATCTAGAAGTAGCAGATGTGCACTTCTATTTGTCCTCACACAGCACATGGATGAAACCCTTAACATCCTTTGGGTGGACCAGCCCAAGGGTGGCACAGAGGGTTCTCAATCATGCTACACTAGTGGTTCCTAGGCATTCACACTTAAGACAGGTTTAAATTTACTCATGTAAAAATGGAGAATATTCTCTGAGTGTTAGTTAACTGTGTGCAGGACACTATTGTAAGTGCTTTACATTGGATTGATTCGTCTACATTGAAATGCTTTCCTTGAATTGACCCATTTGGAATAGACTTTCCCAACTGGCGTGCACATACTCCAGGTGGACTGAGATGGTGACTTCCTTAGCTCTCCGGGCAGAAGCAGGGCAGGAGCTTTCCTGAGTGTGCCACACGACATTAACGTTTTCCGTGGGGGCCCATGGCAAAGTGCTGACTCAGTAGGGCTCTTGGACCTCTGATTTACATATCTGGCATGTGACAGGTTCTGCACAACATGAGAACCCTCCTCATACACATAACTACACACAAAATCATGTACTTTTGAGGAAAGAGAATGACATATTACCATATTTTGCCTTGTGTAATGCACACCCAGCTTTTGTCCCAAAATTTCAGGAAAAAAATCTTTTGTTTTAATTTTTTAATTCAATTGTTTATTTATACATAATTAGATACTTGTTTTTTGTATTATAAAAGAACTTTAGCATTTATTTTGAACATATTGTAGCACAAGAAATTTTATATAACAAATAATTACAAAACACAAGAACAGATACGGGGTATTTCAGGAACTACCCATGTATAATGCACATTCTTATCTTCCCTAAAAAATTTGGGTAAAAAAGTCTACATTATAACAGGAAAATATGCTAATCTTTGGGTCCTGTCCATCCAGGTACCTGGTACACAATGCTTTCTTTGCATATGACATCTGCCCTGTAAATGTGACTTGAATCAAATTGAATTTCTCATATGGTTGGTATACAGAGAAACAAACTCGAGTAAAAACATTATCAAAAACCAAATTTGCTCAACCAATGCTGCATTATTTAAGTGCAATGTGTTAGGCAGTGCACCAGCCATAAGAGTGCACCAGTGGGTCTCCAACCACAGGGGCTGGAATTGACAGGGGGCTCAGCTGCCCTGCCTCTGAGAGCCCTGGCAGTGATTGCTGCCAGTGAATGAACCCAACAGGTCTGTGTCTGGCAGACACAAGACCCCTTTGAAGGCCTTATTGAAGCTTATTGAGGCTCAGCCTAGTCTAGGATGATTTCATCTCACCTAATTCCTGCTCTCTTCCACTCGTGGTCGGATGGCTTCCTGCAGCCTCCTCTGCATTCTTTCCTAGCTATTTCCCTGAGTAAAGTTTTTACACATTTAATCTGGTGTTTGCGTTTTAGAGAACCCAGACTTTCATAAGTAGATAGGAATGGCTTCTTCAAAGATCTACTGATGCCAATGCTAACAAAACATGCAGGACGAAATTGTGCTCAGAGTGATAAGTAATACGTGCCTTTTACTCGGTTTCTAGTCTTTGTCATCTCTCTCACTGGACCTTGATTCGTGACACTCGTCTTGCTTTATTTTTCAGTTCTGGAAAGGTTACAGTATTTTACCAGGCTTCATCTTGGTGACTGTGACAGGGTTCAGGTAAGAATGCCATAATCGGGTCATTTCTATCTAATGGCACAGACCAGCACAGTAGTGAAGGAGGAAAGGCCTGTCAGGGGGTGAAATCTGGGATGCTCAGTGGGGGCAGATTGCTGGGGCTTAAAGTGGCTAAAATACTGAGAATTGTAGTTTACACCTTACAGAGGTACCTACTTAGAAAGTGAGAAAAAGATTTGTGTTCATTCTACACACACAAGGATTTTGCAAGGATATTGGATAAGTTTGTAGTTTAGGGCGTTCAGAAATAGAAAAGTGAAACGATGTCATGCAATGATGCCTTTGTTCAAGAAAAGTTGGCCCGCCAGGACTGCAGAGGCAGGCTGCAATGGGGTGGCTCTCCTGGAAGTTGCACACCCTGGCAGACATGAGCTGGTTTGCACAGTTTTTCGAAAAGCTGGTTGCCAATGTTAACAATTAAGAATGTTTACAGAAACAGTCAGGATTTTGGCTTCTCTTGATATTAAGCTTCTCTGGTAACACGGGGCCAGCCCGGTTATATGACAAGTCTCTGTATTGTGGTTGCCACCCTATGGCCAGCTCACATGATTCGTTCCCTCATCCCTGTCTGGCTATTTTGTTCATTTATGTTAGCTGTCTGCATACATTTGAGTGTGCAAGCCCCGCCTCAGGCTTTCAACTAGAGTTTGAAAACACGTTGATTGCCGTGAACCCTTCCTGCCACTTGTTTTCCCACACAAATAAATCATAAGTATCTAGACTCTTCCAGGTCAGTTACTGCTTTACTGAACCGATGGTCCCTGTCCAGGCCCGGCAGTGTGGTCGTGACATATGCAGTCAAGACTACAACACCATCGCCGGGATTAATGCAGAAAGCGAATGCTCTAGTAGCACAGAACCTCAATCAGACCTACAAAATGGACTACAATTCCTTTCAAGCAGTTGCTAGTAGTAAGTACAACATTGCTACATTTTTCCTATGCAGAGATTCCATTCAGATACAGCAGTGATGTTTGCGGTTATGCTTAAACCTAAGAAATTCTGTTGCCATGTCCCCCGTGGAGAGTCTCAGGTCCCAGGCTTGGGGTTTTGTGCCATTCCCCTCCCCCCCCTTAGGCTGCTGCAGAGCCTTCCCGCAGAACTAATGTCACTGCGGTTGTGGGAGGGGTCACAAGGGGAGAGAGTTTGCAAGGGGGCCACAGATCCATCTGGGCTTACAGATTTTTAAAAAATTAATAGAACCAAAATATGCAAACAAAAGTAAAGCCAAAGTTGTGGTTCAGGTGGGGACCACGACTTTTGTGGAACGCACTGATACTAAACAGGGGCCACTGTTACTTTAGAGCAACGGTTCTCAAAGGGTGCCCCCCCAAACAGCATCATTCCTACCTGGGGTCTGTTAGAAATGCTAATTCTTGGGGCCACCCCAGACCAAATGGGGGCCAATTTGTGTTTTAACAAGCCCTGCAGGTGACATGATGCTCGGGAAAGTTTGAGAACCACTGCTTTGGATCACATCTAACAGTTATAAGAATCCTGGGATTTTAGAAGTTCTCCCCCATTTTACAAGTGGAGTTCAGGGTTGGGTTCTGTTGTGTTATTAGGTGGGTGGACCTATAATGCTGCTTGTGGAATACATGAGGACCCAGCGGGGCAGAGATTTGGTGGGCTGGAGTTTGGCCGGCAGATGTCTGGGTAACTCCGTCTGTGGTTCCCAAGTAAAGATGGTTCCTCTTCAGAGCGACGTGGTCACAGTGGGGAGGACAAGGCATGGACTGTCCCAGGAATGATTGAAGAAAGGGCACCCTTCTCAGCAGTTGGGCCCTCCTCACAGTGGATTTTTTCTCTTTTTCTTTACAGTCTCTGCTGGTATTTTTAGACAGCAGATCTTTTTAAAACTAAAATATTGAAAGAGAGATACACAATGGTAAGAAAGTGCTACAACAAAATCAAGATAAAAGAGTAAAATAAAAATTCAGAGTAAATAAGGTAGCAGCAAACTAATGAAAACTGTAAAGAAAGGAGAATAAGTGGCCTAAAAATACAGACTCATGCAGAAGCAATTTTAGCAATTCCACGCCACCCTGACAGCACCCCACCAGCCAAGGATGCTTTGCCCTGAAAAAGTCTTTCTTTTTTTAAGTCATTCTGAGGGCACAGGAGAAGAGTAGTTGCTAGCACAGGTAAGCTTCCATTATGATTCCTCTTTCTGCAAAATTTTAGTTCTGCTGAGGAAAGCCAAACAGTGAAATGAGTAAGTGTCCAGCAGATTTACTGACCAGTGGCTGTCAGTCCAGAGATAATGGTGCTGACACTATGATTCACAAAAGTGCTTTGGTGCCTACAGCTTATTCTTCCCAAGTCACTGTGAATGGCCTTATATACCCCTTTCTGCAGAGGGTTACACTCTTCTCCATCCTCCTTTAAAGACCCAAGTGTGCTTCTGTGATACCCTCAGCCTTAGAGCACCAAACATGAACTTCCTCTTGTGCAGCTCCATGGCGAGCTCAGACACCACTCTGCTCACCATGGTATTGGCGGTGTTTATCCAGAGTACAGATATATAAAAAATTCAGCTGACTGAGTGCTTTTTAAAAATTATATTTTCCTGGCTGGTGTAGCTCAGTGGATTGAGCGCAGGCCTGAGAACCAAACAATCACAGTTTGATTACCAGTCAGGGCACATGCCTGGGTTGCAGGCCAGTTCCCATCAGGGGACTCACGAGAGGCAACCATACATTGATATTTCTCTCCTTCTCTCCTTCCCTTCCTCTCTAAAAATAAGTAAATAAATAAATAAAATCTTTAAAAAATTATATTTGAAGGGCATGGGACAAGAAGAGAACAAGAAAGAAAAATGCTGACCGAATGAATTGGTATCAGGAACTTATTTAAACCCTTCTCTGTGAAACGCGAGGGCACATGGCACTCTTCAGAACAGGTGCACTGACTTGGTCGGGTGGTAATCCTCTGGGGCTGCTTGCTCAATCAGCAGGGCCTCTTAACTAGAACACCCTTTCTTTAATCACTGCCAGTAAATTTGTGATCACTTCCATACAACCCTACAACGCTGGCAGTTTTACTAGTCATGGTTATTAGCAACAATAGTAATGAAAAGAGGGTGCTATTAATGTATCTTTCTATGTTAAGCCCAGTGCCTTCCTCATATTTCATCATCATATCATCTGGAAGGTAGATATAGTCTTCATTTCCCACGCGAGGCAATGAAGGCTCAGACACGGTAAATAGTGTGCTCAAGAACACGTAGTAAGTAACACAAGTTTGTGTGACTTCAAGCCAGTTCACTGCATTAAATGCTCATGAGTGGCCTTGATTCCTAACTGTTGAATGTGAGTGTTAAAAATCTTAGTTTACTCAGGAACGTAATAAAAGTGATAAGAAATATTTAGATACCTTGATATGTTGACCGGCACATCATCATCCCAAATTAATTTTACGGTGTTTCAGTCCCACGTTTACCACATGGACAGGGCTGGCCTGACCACGAGGCCCCATGCAAAAGAGGCCACCTAGCCCCCTCGCCCAGCTCCCAGATTCCCTCACCACATGGACCTCATAAAGGACGTAGCACAAGACACAGCTGAGAGGGCAAAAACTGCCTGTTATGTAGGCAAAGAACAACTTTAAAAAAGACATACAAAAGTAACAAATATTGTGTTTTTATTTCTATCTGTGAGATTACTCAGTGCAGTGGTTTTTCAGAATTTTATTGTGAAAACAATCATAACAGCTACCCTTCCCCTAAAGCACCTCCCAAGGTAGCTTGCACTGCTTTCTGGATAAGGGAGCTGAGGCTCAGAGCAGCCCAGCAGGCTCTCCAGGGCCACACAGCTGCCTGAAGCACAGAACCAAGATTCTGAGCCAGACCTGAGTGTTTATAAAGCTCCCACACTTAAGGACCCATGGGTATTAGGTATTAAAAAATTATTTCCCAGACTTGATTATTAAAACAATCATTTTCCCATTTCTAACTCATCAAAGACATAGAACAGAGCTTCCAGTCAGCATGAGATATCAGTTATCAGTGAGAAGCAGGTGGTGTTATCTGAGTGGACAGCAAAGAAACTTGATGTTTAAGTTGGCTGGTGTGCCTTTTTCATAAACAAATGTGCAATTTTCTGCCAGACTATTGGAAATATTAAAAATAGCTTTGGGATCCAGATCACTACCATTGAGGGCTCTTCAGTGTGCAAAGATCCTAGACTGGAAACCATGTCCCTAGTACCAGGCCAGCTTGACTCTGGGCCCCAGACCCCAAGCACCCAGGGATGGAGGGACCCATTCTTGAGAGCACCACAGGGACTGTGATGACCGTGTGACAACCCTTGTGATCGCAGCACCTGGCGAGCAGCATCAATTGCATTTATTTGCTTCAGGATTCCAATAATTCTTCTCTTTGGGTTTCCAGATGAAACTAAGTTCTCTGTCATACCAGAAATCATCTTTGAAGGGGATACGGTCACTCTGGTGTGTGAGACTGAAGTTCTGTCCTCCAACGTGTCCTGGCACCATGTGGGAAAGCGCTCTGACATCCAGAACAGCAGCAGATTCTGGGTTGACACCGTCGTGCTCAACAACATGACCTCAGTGTCGCGCCTCACCATTTACAACATCACTAAGAAGGACGCCGGTGGGTTTCCAGCCAATAACTGACGGGGGGAAAGGAATGAAGAACTCATAGAGAAGCAGAGTACAGGAAGTGTACATAGCATTTCATCTTCAAAGAGAAGTCACCAGGCTCAACTTTTCCAAGTTGAAAATTAGTCCCATGGCATATCAGCCAAGCAAATTAGTCTTGGGAGATAAATATGTTTTTCCACATTTACTGAAGCTTATGAGTTGTTACCTGAGACAAAAAGCAATTTATGCTTTTAATTACTTTTTAATTTTAAAACATATTTGTTGAGATAGAATAGATACGTAATAAGCTGTGTATGTTTAAAGTGTGCAGTTTAATAAGTTTAGGTATATGCCTGAAACTATCACCCTAATCAGTCAGGATAGTAAACATTTCCATCCCCTTCCCCCAGTTTTCTTGTACTCCATTGTAATCCCTGCTCCCTGCCCCTCCTTGCCCCTGTCCCCCAGCCACCACAGAAGCATAAGTCTTAAACCTGACATTTTAGAATTTAATAACCCCATTATAATCCAGAGGTCAACAAAGGCATCTTTTTGTCTGAATGAAGTTGGGCTGCAGAAACACAGGTCCTATCACATCTTTGTTGATTCTGATTTTGCCCTAGAGTTAAGTAGAATGCTAAAATTATCCACAACCTTCTAATTCTCCAAGGCTATATAATTTTTCCTTCTTCCTCTTTCATCTTTACACATTTTACTTACCAGCCAGGACTCTGAGACTTTTGCTATTTCCTCGGAACATCTGTCTGCTCTTTACCTTATGTCATTAGAAATATCTGCATCGACCATCTCACTCCCTGGATGTTCCTTTAGGGCTGTTGAGACCAAGTCCCGGATGCTTTTGAAAATTGTGTTTCTTGAAGCACTGTGAGGACACAAGAGGAGGCTATCATTCTTCTAAGGTGATACACACATGTAGTAATGATAAATGCTTTTGTGTATTCTATCCAGGTGAATATATTTGCAAACTGACATTAGATATTTTTGAATATGAGTCCAGAAAAAAAATCAATATCACACCCATCCAAATTTTCTCAAGTGAAGACATGAGGGTGACGTGCGACAACAATCCTGTGTCTTTGAACTGCTGCAGTGAGATTAACGTGAACTGGAGTCGAGTGGAGTGGAAGCAGGAGGGAGAGATAAGCATTCCAGGTAAGAATGTTAGATGCCCTTTCACAAACTGGCTATTGTCCCGTGGCCACATAAATATGGGAGATGCATGGGTGGAAGGCAGAATGTCAGACGACTGGGTTTTTTTTCTAGACTTCAGACTATGAAAAAGTACAGGTTTGAGACCAGCCCCAGTTTAGCCATTCTAGAAAAAAAATCCAAAAATGTATGCATACAAGCATCACACTTAGACTGTAGACAACACCTTAGCAGAGAAGATCCAAGAGGGAGTGACCTGATGACTGAGGTCCATAGTGTCTTCAGCCCACAGAAAAGTGCGTCCGCAACTTCCTTCCCTCTCCATCCTCAGCACCGAGTTAGGGATGAAGTCGCCTTTGCTTTCGAGTCTGACTTGGAACCTCTCGTTCCTGGGTCTCTTCTCTTGCTGTCTGTTTGTCTCACCTCGGTGCCTTTGTGTCCACATTTTCTTCTGTGTTATCTAATTCTGTGTCTCTGGGCCTTTTTTTAATCTCCCTGAGCAGACACCTTTGTTTCTCAGTTCTCTCAGGTCAGTTTCTGATCCAATTTGCTTTCATTTTAGAACTGAGATCTTACTTGAAGTTCCCCAACCCCCCCACCCCCCAATTTATACTGATGAATGATAATAATAACAACAATGCAAAACAAAAATACAATACTAACTCTGATTTGTATAACAGTTTGTAATTAACTAATTTTTAAAAAAAACATGTTATTACTTTTAATCACATTTAAACTTGACCCCAAGTTTGAAGCATGTGTTTTTTTCCATCTAATTTTCAAAACGAAATTGAGGTCCAAATTAAATGACTTATTCAAGGTTGTCACAATAGGAAAAGAAAAAGAATTGGGACTCAATTCAAGCCTTGTGTCCTAAAACCAGTGTTTATCTTGGCCAAACTCCTTCACCATGCCTGGCAAGCCAGCACTGGAATGAGCTGATCTGGCAGAGTTTATACAGAAGCAAAAGACTACTTTCTGCCTAGAACCCTCATATAACAACATCCAATCCTTCCCTTAAGAAATGACAGTATTATGTTTATCTTTGCCTTAAAAAACCATTAAAATAAAATATGGCTTTACCCATGAAATACGTTAGGACACTTTATTCTACAAAGCCTTTCCCATCAGAATATATTAAACCATAAAAAACAAAATAATGAACAATTTGCACGTACCTTTTCCTGAGCAAATCTATTTTGCAAAGCCCATTTCAGCTGCAGTGTTTGCATTTGACTTTAAAGCACCCAAGAGAATGGGAAAGGCATGTGGTAACTGCTGAATGTGTTGACACATGGTACCTTTAGTCACTTCCTTGATTTTTAAGGAAGAGGAGGTGTAGGCATCCTGAAGGAACTGCCAGATGGGAGATAGACCTTGCAAAGTTCCCGTGAAAGCCCTTAAGCTTTCAACTCTGAGAGGTGAAAAAGCTGGCCCTCTGGCAGAGGAACCAGGAAGTCTGGGGCACAGATGCTCAGAGACCTCTGTGGCCACCGCTTCTTCAGACAGGCCTGTGCCCCGCGGAGGCTGAACCTTCCTCAGAACAATGGGTTTCCTGTCACAGGCCTGGCCTCTCGCAGAAATCAGTTCTCTGATGAATTTAGCCTCTGCTCTGGGCACCTTGCCTTTCTTCCCCCTTCCTTGCTGCCCTCTCTTCGCAGCAATCTTTCTCCAAACTCCACAGGTGCTTCAGCACCCATTTTTCTAGGTCAGTAAGAAACAAGCTAGCTAAATAATTCACCTAAACAAGCGGAACTGAGTATGTTACCTCACCTCAGAAACAGGTTCATTTCACTTTCAAAACACCGTGGTAAGAGACAGAAAGAAGTCACCGGCAATAATGAAATTTCTAGTTTTAAGGAGTGGGGGGACGTCTCTTGCATAAAGTGGGACTCGTGCAGTTTTTCAAACCAACAAGCACTAACTATAATATTAAGGGTAATGGTAGCAGAAGTAATACAGGAGTCCCCCCTTATCCACAGGGTATATGTTCCAAGAGGCAGTGGATGCCTGAAACCATGGGTAGTATCAAACCCCAGATATACTGTTTTTTACTATACATATATATTTATGATAAAATTTGATTTATAAATTAAGTACAGTAAGAGATCAGCAATAATAAATAATAATAAAATAGAACAACTATAACAATATATTACAATAAAAGTTATATGGATGTGGTCTCTCAAAATATCAAATTGTTCTGTACATACAGTGGAGACGTGCTGGAGGAAAAGGTGATTCACATCCAGGGTGGGATGGAGAGAAATGGCATAAGGGTTCATCACGCTATTGAGAATGACGGGCAATTCAAAACTTATGAATTATTTCCAGAATTTTTCTTTTTAATATTTTCAGGCCATGGCTGACTGTGGGTAACTGAAATAGCTGGAAAGCAAAACTGTGGCTAAAGAGGGACTCCTGTAGCATTAATGCTGCTGCTGCTAGTAGTAACAGTAGAGGGACCAATTATTATTATTACTAGTTCAGTTTCTCATTTTCCCCTATCAAATATTGGCTTTGACTAGGTAGAGACATGCTGACAAGGGAGGGAATTTAAAGGCTACAGAGTTTCTAGTGTCACCATAGCCCTTCTTATGTGGCACGATGATAAAAAATAATGAAGTCTTAATTCCCTTCTTGCCCATAAGCTACAACAGTTCCCTAATGAGTTCATATTTCCTTGCCTGTTGTCATGCAGATTATTCATAAAACCATTGAATCTTTACAAGAGGGTGTCAGCTCATTCTGTGTGTGTCTTTTGTTCAGATGTAGGTCTCTTGTAGACAGCATATATATATATATATATATATATATATATATATATATATATATATGGCTCTTTTTATCTCATCCATTAAGCTACACTTTATAAAGTACTACTAGAAGACAGCCTGCCTCAGGGACTGGGGGAGAACAAAGCAGAAACTCGACGTGCAGTAGCAAGCAGGCAAGCAGCATTGCTGGAACAGCACGTCCATCCTGGCTGCACGTGGGGGATGTGCTTTTGTTTAAAAAAAAAAACAGATGTCAGGGCTTCACTCTTGCAACTAAATCAGAATGTCCAGGTTTGGGATCTAGGCAGTGGCATATGATCCAGAAGTCACATGAGACCTTATTGGACAGAGGGTACTGAGAGCCCTGCATTTAGTCCAGTCACTCATTTGCACATGAGGACATGTCTCCGTGACTGTGGCAAAGGGCTCCCCTCCACGGCCCTGATCTTCCTCTTCCATGTCTCTCTGGGTTCCCAGCGATGCCATAAACAAATTTGGCTTTAAAAAGTGAGTCCTCTACTTGAAGGAATGCCCACAAAATTGGATTTGAACAAAAAAAAAAAGAAGAAGAAAGAACTGAGTCAAGTCCTCTGTCCTGGAAAAATTAGCCTCACACCCTGTGCTTTTCGCTAAGATGACACCTAGTCCTGGAGAGCTGTCATCCCAGCGCAGCCATGCACCCTTGTCCTGACACAGAGCAAGATGAGTCACTTCATTGACTCCCAGAACTTCGTTAATTAAATAGTGATAATGGTACCTTCTTTGCAAGACTTTGTAGGGATAAGCACTGAGATGATGAGTATAAATATTTAAAACAGACCTGAATGCATTGAATCTGCCACAATAACTACTTTCTGATAGTGGCAATAGCTTTAAAAGCCAGCCCCTCATTTTTCCTCACTATGGTTGGTGAAAATTTTTCATTAGATGTGATCTAACCTTGAGCAGTAAAATTTTAGTTGCATAGCATCTCTTCTCCAGAGAACATATCAGCAGCTTATTTGCTGCCTTCAGTAGCATCTGGGCGAGACCTCGAGGTGCACAGCCCCAGGGGTGCTATATGAAATACAGTGTGAACACTGCCAATTCACACTTCCCACTTTCATTTTCTGACTTTGCCATCTCTTTGGAGCCTCATCTCCACTCTTTCCCTGCAGATTGCAACCTCACAGAACTGCTGGTTCCCCCAGACATGACCAGCATGCGGCTGCTTGTGTGCTGTGGCTTCTACCAGTGGTTTCCAATTTACCTGTAGAATTTTTCCTTCAAGCACAATTCATGTGCTTCTCTAATGTGGGGTTTCCCAACCTTGGCACTAGTGACACTTTGGGCCAAATTATTCTCTGCTGGGGGGAGCTGTTCTGTGCATTGCAGAATGTTTATCAGAATCCCTGATCTCTATTCACTAGACATCAGTAGCACCTCTCAGTTATGACAGCCAAAAATGTCCCCAAATATTGCCAAATGTCCCCCAAAGAGGCAACAGTGCCCCCATTTGAGAACCCCATTTCTGATGTGTAAAGCATATCAGAATGGAGCTGCTTGAGTTAGAAAAAGGATGGGGAGGTTAGAGCCCACATGGCTTATTGCCCTTCCATCCCCCAGCTGAGCCCTAGTTCCTGAGACAGGTTTATAGAACACTACATTCTCCAAAGAGTACCAATCCACACACACATACAACTCAACCACAACTGCACACTAGAATACCACAGCCACATTTTCTACCTATGTCTTTCAAGGCATAGAGCAAATCTTTCCTCTTCTCTGAAATCTTCTAACTAAAACTTCTCTCCTTTAATTTCCACACTATATTTATTCCTCTTTTATGAAACTTATCTACTGTATATTATAATTATTTCTGTACATGTCTTTAATACCCCATCCTGCATAGCTCACTGTCTTACACATTAGTTTGGTGGGAAAGCTGGGCTTGAAGGATGAGTAAGAGTCAATAGGATGAGGGAAGGAGAATATTCCAGGTGTGAACACAGGCACATGGTATGAAGCTACAGGCATGTTGAAGGACTTGACCTAGTTCTTAGGAATGATATAGAATTAAATAAAGAGTGCAGGGGCAGATTAAAATCATATTGTGAATAAATACATTTATGCCACTAAGGAGATTTTAGCTTATTTTGAAGGCAAGGGTAAGATTTAATTTAATTTAATTTTATTTTAAAAAATTTTATTGTTAATGCTATTACAGTTGTCCCAATTTCCCCCTTACCCCCCTCCACCAAGCCTGCTCCCAACTTCCATAGTCAGTCCCCACACCCTTGTTCATGTTTATGGGTCCTTCTTATATGTTCTTTGACTAGTCCCTTCACTTTCTTTCAATCAGTCCCCAGCTGCCCTCCTCCCCACTTACAGCTGTCAGTTTATTCCATGATTCTATGCCTCTGATTCTGTTTTGCTTCTTAGTATATTTTGTTCATTAGATTCCCCTTATAAGTGAGATCATATAGAAGTTGTCTTTCACTGACTGGCTTCTTTCACTTAGCATAACAGTTTCCCGTTCCATCCATGCTGTTGCAAAAGATAGGAATTCCTTCTTTTTTACTGCTGCATAGTATTCCATTTGTGTAATCGAATTACAGTGTTTTTATCCTCTCCTCTACTGATGGGCACCAATTCAAAGGAATTTATGCACCTCTCTATTCATAGCAGCACTATTTATAGTAGCTAATACTTGGAAACAGCAAGGGTAAGATTTAAAGGTAAAAGAAGAGAGAAGTCAGATAATAACTGAAATTTAGAAAAATAAATTTTAAAAACTAAAAATAAATTAAAAAAATAAATTTTAAGGTAGTGTAGCCAATAGATTGAAGGGCCAAAATAACCAGAACAAAGACCCAGTTACAACAATATGCAATTGGCAGATAACAGGCAATGGGGCTCGGGATACTGACCAGGGTTGCAGTAAATAAGACAGCTGTGAGATGTTTTAGCAGTACAGCCTAAAAATTTTGACAACTGACTGAAATGGAATGTAAGAAAATATACGTAATTAAAAATGAACTTAAGACTTTTCATTTCACGAACTGCCAATGTTGAGGAAAAGAAACATTAGAAGCTGCGCAGATTTGTCTGGGGAGAAGAAAGATAAGTTCCAGTAGGACATGTTGAGTTGGAAGTACCTCAGATATTGAATTGGCAGTTGGGAATTTGCTTCTAGAGTTTCTAACAAGATCGTTTCTCTTAGAGTGGAGACTCATCCAAATATAAGAGCATCCTATATATATATATAATAGGAGGCATGGTGCAGATGACATTGTCCTGTGAGACAGTAGAGAAAAAGACAGGGAAGGGCCAACATTGGAGTGCTTGGGGCAAGGCCAATGTCCTGGGGAACACCAGTATTCGTGAAGGGGACAAAAGGAAAGGAACCTGGGAAGCAGACCCAAAGGGAAGGATGAAGAGAGAAGAGAAGCAGGAGAGACCTGTGGAGTTCGGTAGGCCAGGTCACAGAGAAGGTGGTCGAGGTAGCATGACAGGTAGCATGACAAGTCCAGGTAGCACGACAAGAAGCCACTGGATCTGGGAAAGAGGAAACCACACTTCAAGTGAAGTGTAGGGGAAAGAAGGTGAATGATAGTGACTTGATAAAAAGTTGCAGTAAAAGACTAAAGGTGGCAAATGCACAAGCATTGTGGTATGAAAAGTGGAAGAAAACTCAGTGGTGGCTACACAACCTTCCAGATTAGGAGGATTATTTTAGGAAGGGAAGAGAAGTATACCCATTGATTAGCATGAAAGAGCCTGAGGACAGACTAAAGTCACAAGGGAGAGGAAAGATAAAGAATAGAATATGGTCTGTGGGTACTGGGAAAATTGGGTTTGTAAAAATTAAGTGGAGGGGTGAACCATTGAGATAAGTAGGGACAATTGTGCCTATGAGCTAGGAGGTCATTTATCCAAGAGGGTGAAGATAGAAATCAATTTTATGTTTTGAATAGTCATTTTGGGGACTGGGAGAAAAGCTGGTTACCTATCAATCAAAATATTTCAAACATCACCAATTATCCAGCCAAGGCTGAAAAGGATGCATTCCTATTAGAGCTAATCAGGTTCTTTTTCTTTAATTTTGGGGAAATTGACAGTGTTTGGAGGATGCCTGGCAGTGTTGGAAGAAAGAGGGACTGGAGTAGAAAATATTCACCAGAACAATAGGCAAGGAGTAAAGATGGCTTGGAGGGCATGACATCTGAGAACTGAAAAGCAAGGTGTTGAAGAGGAGCTATTTTGAAGGGGAAACAGCTGGTAGCCCGAGAAAGCATGAAGTTGAAGCTTCCAATAAAACATACGGGCTAATAATAAGAGGGAACAAGTTATGCAAACATTTCTCAGATGACGTGAATATCAGATGTTCCTGTCTTGCTTCTTTCTCCTTTCAATAATAATAACAATAGTCTAACTAACCTGGCAGTCTTTTCTTTCTGGTGGAAATCATGTCCAAAGACCTTGCTTTTCTTTCTTTATATTTCATGTTCTAGTGACCATCACTAATGAGGCAGGGCCCAGCCAGGTGCTGTTTTAAGTGTTTTTATGTAGCAACCCATTTTGCCTGACTACAGTCCTGGGCTGTATTTACTGTTATTTATCTTTATCTTACATCTGGAAAAACTGAAGCACAGATCAGTTCAGTGACTTTCTCAACAATGCCCTGCCAGTTACAGTTTGAGTTTGTGGCCAGGAAATCTGGCTCCTTAGTCCACAGACCTAACCAGTACACATTCTGCCACCTCTTAATTCAAAGAGAAGAGAACTAATTTAATTAGTAATTCTTTTTCAATAATTTGGCATCTCTGCTACTAACTCAGAGTCAGCCAACTGTGACAGCAAAAGAACGGCTATGTCTCTGCAGGAAACTCTGAAACAGAATCAGATTCCAGCTGCAGCAGGTACACCCTCAAGGCCGATGGAACTCAGTGTCCCAGTGGGTCAGCTGGAAGAACAGTTATCTACACGTGTGAGTTCATCAGTGCCCACGGAGCTCGAGGCAGTAAGGACATAGAAGTGACATTCATATCTGTGGGTAAGGACTCTTACTAGGATTTTCAGTATTGCACCTCAAACCAAGGGCTGCCAGTCAATTGGGATTATCCATGAGCCGATCAAGCAGGGCCTTCCCTGGTGGTGGGAGTGCGGTTGGGGTGAGTCACAAAATGGGAAACAGCAGAGAACTTCTCTCTGTGCCATTTACGTTCAGGTGAAGTCTTTCAAATAGGGGAGGGGTGGGATGGGGACCTGACTGCAGGGAAGGACAGACTGCCTGTGCTGCTAAGGCAGGAAGTGGACGGAGAGATGTTTCACACTCAGATGAGTCCTATTCAATCTTGAGTTGACAATGAGGGCAACACTCCTAATTTCCCCCATTTCCTCCCATAATTTTATTCTTTCTCCCTTGAATTACAATAGCCTGGCTCAGTCCACATCCCCCTTCACCTCTCCCCGTCGTCCCTCCTCTCCCATTTCACCTCTTCTAGGAAGAGTGCTGCAGAAAGCTTTAGCAATCTGATACTTTGTGGTTACTGTACCGTTATAAAAAGGTTTTTTAAATATTTCAATTCATTCAGCTTATTTATGCCCCTTAAAAATAGCATTTCTTCTCATATCATAAAGCATTACAGCTTCAGCTCTATCTGCAAAAATAGAGCAGTCAAACTTGTTTTTCCACCTATCTTACAGAAATGAACTAGTACAATAGATCATAAGACCCCCCCTCACCTATACAATTTTGAGAAAGGACTAATAAATATGCTCGTTACTCTTGCTCACACTTCCTGTTCTCAAGACTTGGCATTTTTACAAAGAGCAAGATTAGGTTTATCTGCAAACACCCCCGTGGTGGGATCCCAGATCTTTTGTGCAACTCACAGTTGTCTGCTGTGAGTGCAGTTGTACACAGCAGGTTTTAACTCAAGACTTGTGTCCTTTATGGGCCCTTGGTTATCTTAGGGACATGTGCAGCCTCTGCTGAAAACCACTGGGTTGGTAGTTTGGACCTCATCTGAGAATCACAAGAGCCCAGGAGCCTTTTTCTTTTCTCTCTCAGAATCCACTAATCCTTCAGTCGCCATCTCAAGGTCCCTACTGACAGTAAGGGCGAAGCAAGGGGCACTGTGATCCAAGCTTGTGTGACTTCGGGGCTGTATGTGAACATCTGAATCCCAGCTTCTGCCCTCCCAGGGCACTATAGAAAACCCTGATTTTTTCTGATTATGACCAAAGATGAGGTTTTACCCTGATCGGAGGAGCAGGCCAGCCTCAGTGGCTCAAGGCACAAACTTGTTTACTGATATAAGACACGAGTGGATGGTATTTTGAAATGTCACCTGTGTAAAATACATGCTCCAAGATCTGGAGGCAAAAATAGCAGCACGTTCATGTAAGTTTTTATATCTGTAGGGTCTTGTTGAAATTCTCAGTGAATACGTTCTTATGAACCTAGGTGGACATTCTCAGAAGGATGAGTAAACATGGAGGGACACAGTTAGGGGGCCTCTATGGCCCAATTTGGATTTGAGCAGGAAATGCTGTGATCCCCCTACTTCAAATGTAGCTCCAGACATCACTCCTGTTTAGTAAGCACTGACCGAGTTCTAGCCCCAGGTGCTGAGTTTGGGGGATGCGAGGGCACAGAAGAAAGATCCCTGCTCTTGAGGGGCTCACATTTTTATGGAGGAGACATATAGAAAGAAAGAAATTAAAAATGATGTGGCATAATTTTTAAAAAGTACTTTCAAAAACAAAAGAACAAAGTGTTTTGAGAACTGAGCCATTTAGTGTGCCCTGAGGTGTCCCGGAAAAGGTTGGAGGGGAGCTTGGGTTAAGTCGACATCCCTAAGTTTGCAACCTTTCGCTCTGCTGATCATCAGGAGATAAATCCAGCCACAAAGGGGAAGTGCACGAGTTCCTAAGGCATGTGATGGAAATGAGTACAGTTCAGAGCACCACCGGGAACAGCCTAGAAACAAGTAAAGCCCAGGAGCAGCAAGGTACCAATCCCGCGTTGACACAAGTAGTCAGGACGGTGCACACTTTCTGTCTCTATCTTAAATTTCACTCATGTGTCGATGGCACCAGAAAGACTAAACCTTGTACTTGTTGTCGGTTTTCTTTTGTCTGTTTTGTCTGCATTCTTTCAGCCAACCTAACAATAACCCCGGACCCAATTTCTGTTTCTGAGGGACAAAACTTTTCTATAAAGTGCATCAGTGATGTGAGTAACTATGATGAGGTGTATTGGAAAACTTCTGCTGGAATTAAAATATACCAAAGGTTTTACACCACGAGGAGGTATCCCGATAAAGCAGAGTCGGTGCTGACAGTGAGGACCTCGACGAGGGAGTGGAATGGTGAGTGAAAGGCCAGGACCCTACGCTGCTGCCCTGAGCCCTGGAAACACACTGCAGTAGTTACCACCCACGGAGGGCCTGTCCTGGGACCTGTCTGTGCCGGCCACTTTATGTTAAATATGTCATCACATTTCATGCAACAGCCCTTTCAGGCAAGAGGTCATTATATTCATTTTATAGATGTGGAAACTGAGGCTCAGAGAGTATAATGAATACACCAAAGCTTCTACACCTTAAGTTGCAGAGCCAGGACTGGAACTTTCTCTCATTCTAGAGTTTGTGTTCTTTTCAGGAATTTAAGAGGATTTTTATTAAAAATACTTTCACCAGACTCTTGGAAGTGCTTTACCTAATTGTGGTATCAAAATAATCTAGGTAAAAAAGGTTTATATGCCTGGTTCCAAAGAAAGGAACATTTTGATTTCTTATTTATTTCTATATTTTAGCCATGTTTGGAAGAAGTGCAGATCTTTTGGGGTGGGAGGAAGAGAATTTGATTGAACCACTGCAATAATAGCTGGCATTTCTTGAGCTCTTCCTATGTGATAGACACTGTTATGTATTGTGTGTTAATTTATTTTAAAAAATTAACTGAGAGGATAATGCTATTATTATCCCCACTTTGCTGATGAGGAAGCTGAGGCTCAGGGGGGTTAAGTACATTTCCTGAGATTGTACATCTTGTGAATGACAGAGCCTGCCTGGCTCTGTGGACACCTCTGAACCGCTTTGCCCTGAGGTCTCTCATTAACTGTACAGTTAATAAGTCCAGATTCTGTGAGTCCCAGGTCTTCTATTTTTTTTTTTTTGTAAGAAGACCAGGCAACTTTGTAGAAAGAAGTAGTTACTATTTGGCTGGAGTTGGTAGTGAAAAATCAAGAAGTGAGAGTATTTTTCTCCCGTGCCGAAGTCACACCTAACTCTGTCCAAATTGCTCTTTCCTTCCACTGGGCAGTACTTAGGAGGAACCATAACTTTCCCATCACATTCACCTGTTAAACATTCTCATACTCAAGTGCTACAATAACCCAGTCTCATCTAAATCAACTACACTTTGATTTTATATTAAGTTTAAAATTTTCTTCTCTCCCAACAGAATTGAAAGGAATCTATTCTCTGTTTTTGTTCTTCCTGATTTTCCTTTGGCTAGCTGCTGCTCTGGCTTGTCCAGATTTGGGGCAAAGAAAAGAAATGTAAAAAAAAATTTCAAAGTGTCTTACTAAATTGTAGGTACTTTTATAGACCCGTGGGAACAGCGTCTTCCTACCCTGTTCCCATGGCAGGGGCTCAAATGGTGGCTCACTCTTTGATGGACCCTGGCATATAATACTCATCTGGAAGAAGTCCTTTCAAGAAGCTTGACCCGAGGACTTTCCAGAATCCACTCTACCTCACCCAGCGCTGAGCACACAGGCTACTCCTGCTGCTGCCTTCCCTCTTACTCCAGCAAGATCAGTCAGCCTCTTTAGACTTTTTTAGATAAGAGTGAGACATCAGACATCTAATTCCAGGGTCCACAGGTTGAGCTCTCCCAAGAATCCCCCCCTCCCTGTCTGTCTCTTTCTCCCTCCCCACGCAAACTCCTTTCTGGTGCCATGGCGTCTTGGGAACTGAGGAGCCTACTCACTTAGAGATGGAAAGAGGGGCCATCACGACATTATAGGGTCCCATCTGAGTGACAACTCTCTTCAGAGAACTTCCCTTCCCAGCACACACTGGAATTCCCATCTCTACCCTGGATAATGAAAGGGCCTTAGAGTTCATATTGGAAACCTGTTTTGAAACCTGATTCCACCCTAACAGACTGGATGACTTTGGATAAGCCACTTAATTTTATCTGAAAGTAAGTGAGTATGTAGGTGGCTCTTTGTTAATTTTTTTAATACATAGAGCACCCAGGAAGGGAATCTATCAACCATTATCTTACCCACTATCCAGGAAGATGTTGTGTGCCCTTGTGAAAGCTTGACAAGGACAACTAAGTCTCTTCTTAACCTTCCCAACAAATGCCTCTGTGGCATGATGATTTAATTCCACTTTATTTTTTGCTTCCTTCCACTCAGGAACCTATCACTGCGTGTTTAGATATAAGAATTCATACAGTATCGCAACCAAAGATGTCACTGTTCACCCGCTGCCTCTAGAGCCAAACATCATGGTTGATCCTTTGGAAGCCACAATTCCATGCGACGGTTCCCTTCCCCTCAAGTGCTGTGTCGAGGAAGATGAAGACTACAGAGTAACTTTCCAAGTGGATTCCCTGTCCTTTCCTGCTGGTAAGACGCCAATAGCTGAATCGTTAGGACATAGTATTTCCTACATGTGGACATACTATGAGTCTAAAAATTTTCTCTTAAAATAGACATAGGGATTTAATCAGAGACAGAACATAACATTGTGAATCCCATAAGCCATTATTACTTTTTATTTTACTCTATTTGGCTTGTGGCAAAATCTTAAGATTCTGTGAGGGTGGAGCCCATTGGTTTTGGGGGGCACTGATGAAGAACAGTGTTAAGATACCTTCACAGGTCTTCCACTTCCTCAATGTAGTTGACTAGATATGCTGATAGGCCCTCCCTCCAAGATCTGAATCAATATACTATGAAAGTACCACAAAAATCCTCTTAAATGAACAGCTGCACATGCAAGAAAGAAAAATAGCCAAGCACCAAACATAGAGAAAAAGAAAAATAGACATGTTTTAACTAGTGCTAGGGCTTCCTTGAGGCCATCTGCCAATAGAAGGAGCCCAAACCCTTGGGTTTTAAGGTGCTAAAGGCCATGGAAGTAAACTTCTTGCTCCCTATGCAGTAGCTAAGGAAATGCCACCCCACCAGCACAATGTTGGGATCCTCGAAAGGTAGACTGCTCATTTTAAAAATAGACTAGAAAAGCAAAATTCACCTGCCTGGGTTAGGAGCGTGGCCTTGGCTCTGGGTGGGCAAAAATTTTCCCTGAGAATTACAACCATCCTGTCCTCGCTCAGGTTTGGGGTTTGAATTTATACCATCTATGTGGTCCAGGAACTTCCAACTGAAAGGTAAAGTGGTCCATTGATAGCACCCTATGGAACTTGGTAAAAAAAAAAAAAAAGAACTCCTCTCTGGTAGAATGTACCAGCAGTCCAGATTCTTCAGGTTCCAACAGAAAAAGGTCAACCAAATATGAGCTCACATCCCCAAATGTCAAAATACAGACACAGTCATAAGCAATTTATAAGCTCATTCATTTTTTTCATGAACTATTCTTAAAGACCTACTCAATGCAAAACTCTGAAAGTAGGTAATGAAAAGGAGAAAAAGAAATTAGGTCACATATATTAATATGTAGATGGGCTCATGTCATAAAAGACAATGCATATAATAACATTAAATATCCAAAATGAGTAATACAGTTCAAAACAACACTGGAAGTTCAGAAAAATAGGGACCCAGAAAGTCTGGAAAGTTTAGAGAGAATTGCATGGTATCAGTCTGGATATTGAAACACTCAAACCTTTCAACATACTGTATTCAGTATGCATATATTCAGTGCTCTCTAGATGTGCCAAACACTGTGTTAGACACTGGGTGATGGAAAGATAAACGAGACCATTTACCTTCTCTCTGAGACCTTATGGTCTAGTGGAGAGACAGGCCCATAATGAGGTGACTCGAATCCAATGTGGTGAAGGCAATATAGGATAAACGCACAGAACCTGATGAGTTTTAGATAGGCAGAGGGCATTCTGAAAAGCATTCTGACTGTTCAAACCTGTGTGGGCAAAGATTTGGAGTCATGAATGGTGACGTTTTGGCTAGCATGTATGCAGATGTGGGCTTATGACTAGACTGGAAGCATTTTAAAAAATCACATTAAAAAATGAGTGTGGCATATTCCTGGGAAAAGGTTGGATGAGGGTATCCATAGTGGATCATTTTAACAAAATCTCTGCTACAGATATTCATGTTGTGACTCAATTCTTCCAATGATTTTGTTTTAGCCAAAGAAGTTAATGGAAAGCAAGCATGCTACAAATTCAATTTCATGGCAAACTCAGCTTTCTTGTGTCCAAAACATATTGACGTGTCCTGTCACTTTACCAATGACGCTGATAATTCGGTCCACAGTCCATCTATGAAGCTTCATCTGGTGCCTGGTGAGAATGTTTTCAATCCTTTAAAAATGTTGTAATAATGAGCAGGAATTTATTTACTCATTCACTCCCTTGTTCACCTATTCAAAATATATATTCAGCACCTTCATGCAGTATACATAAAGCTAAGCATGAGGATTTGAAAAGAAATAAGCCATGTTTCCTGTCCTCAAGCTAGGGGAGAGATAGGTGTGATAAAGAACGTTATCACATATGGTGGTGTAAGTGCTAAACTTTGTGGGTGGCCAGAATAGGCTGCCTGGTTTTACACTGAGGGTTATAGATAGGTGGGGAGGAAGTGACCAAGAAAGCCTTGCAGATGAAGTCATAATTCAACTGAGTCCAGGAGGCTATGCATTGCACCAGGTGGATAGGAGTGGGCAGTGTCTGTGTGGAGCTAAGACCCCTTTGAGGTTTCAGCAAAGGAAAGATATCCCTACTAGTACTGTCTTCCTAAGACTGGGCTACATGAAAAGATTCGATTGGAAAATAGGTAGGTAACTGTCTTTCCCATCCTTTGTTCTCACTCGGTCAATACCCCCTCACTTAATATTTGCAGTGTAAAAGGTCATGATTTGTGGAACCATTTCATAATAGTCTGTGCCTAAGAGCTGTCCTCTGTAGCAACAGAGGAACAAGTGGATAACTGATGGGCCTGGGCTTGCTGCCCGAGCCATTCCCTTCCCCAGAAATCTCTGTAGCAGGACCCCAAATGTGAGAAGAATCCGTGTCTTGATTACCAAGTTCATTTGAGTTCTGTGAGTGATTTGTGGTTATTCTCACATGTGTTGCTGCTGAGTCCTGGGACCAAAGCAGGAAGCAACTTGAGTCCCCTGTCTCTCTGATGTCACAGTCCCCTGACCCTTCCGAGCACACCTCTTCCAGGGGTGGCCGAAGTCTCTTGCTCACTCCCAGATCTCACTCCCAGTTTAGCACTGACCTCAGCCTGGTTTCTTCACTTATCTTTGTTCTTCATCTCTTTCTTCATACCCAGTCTGATATCACTTTCTTTCTTGAGTAGAATGTTGCTCATGTACTTCATTATTTTAAATATTTTATGTATTTATTTTCAGAGAGAGGGGAAGGGAAGGGGAAAGAGAGGGAGAGAAACATCAATGTGCGGTTGCCTCTCATGTGTCCCCCCACTGGAAACTGGCCTGCAACCCAAGCAGGTGCCCTGACTGGGAATCAAACCTCGATCCTTTGCTTCACAGGCCTGCGCTCAATCCACTGAGCTACATCAGGCAGGGCATGTACTTCATAATTTTATACGATGGTTGTGAACTCCGTTAGTGATAAATTTAAAAGTTGGTGAGACAAAGATCTGCTCGTTAGAGAATCAGGGTCCCCTGGAGCCTGATGAAAGATTCTGTGACAAATGCTATTTTCCCAGTCATGTCTGGTCTTGAGTAGAAGTGAAATAAAGTCACCCTATGGGAGACCAGCAGAAACAAATTCTCACAAATATTGCCAAAGTATTCAGGCCAGGGGGCCTGGAATATTTATTACTAACTATATCCTTGGATCAAGCACATGCTTCGCAACCTTGGTTGCATGTTGTAATTATGGGGAAACTTTGAAAACTGCTGATGCCTGCATTCCAGCCCAAGAGGTTCAGATTTCCTCATTCCAGGGAGCCTGAAGTGAGCCTGAACGTGGGTCTCGTCTCAGGCCCTGGGTGATTCTAACAGGCCAGAGTTGAGAATCCCTTGAATGAAGCATTATGTCCCCAAGACTCCTGGAAACCTGAATATCACTTTTTTGGGCAAGCGCATATTAAGCTCATTATTTTCCATGGCTTAGATATTCCAGCCAGCAGAGAGAAGATTCTTGGGGGTTGGAGGTGAGATATAAATTCGGTTAGAAAAAGCAAGTCTAGATTAAAGTCAGATATGTATGGAAAGCACCAAGAGGCTTTGGAGAACCAGGGGCAAAAATGAAGAAATCAGCTACCTCCAGAATGCTCACTGAAAACAAAGGGAAAGATGAGTTCAGACATCAAAATTCTATCTAAGCCAGACCCTGTTTTCACTGCCTTTTTTCCTCTTCTCACTTATCCTTTTTGTTTCCATGTTTCCAATGCAGGAGAGAACATCACATGCCAAGATCCAGACATAGGTTCTGGGGAGCCTGGAAAAATCATTCATAAACTCTGCCAGTTCTCACACCTGCCCAGCAGCCCTGGAAGTCCCATGGGTGGGATCATGACTTACAAATGTGTAGGCTCCCAATGGCAGCTGAAGAGAAATGACTGCATCTCTGCACCGATAAACAGTCTGCTCCAGCAGGCCAAGGTGATCCTTCAACCTTTGACTCTGTGCTCTTGGTGGGGTAATCTGTCTAGCTTACCTTATTTCTCAGCACTTAGGAAAATGGGCCTTGGGCTGGTTTGTGTTGCTCTCAAAATTACTTTTATCTATTTCCAAAGAGAACACATTACTAGAAACGCTTTAAAAAATCACTTAAATACAAATATGATGACAACAAAATATGTGTTCTGCTGTAAAATCAGCTGTATACCTGATTTGCTCTGTTTTCTCAGTATCTTGTATCCATTCCTTATAAGAGGCAGGTAGTATCATCCTCTCTACCTGCTCTCCTTAGAATAATTTTCACATCCAGCATATAGCTCTATTCTTCTCAGAAAGAGAAGCAACATAAAAAATAAAGTTCAGTGCAAAAAAGAAGTTGGGCTTTAAGCTTTTACAGTCTGAGATTTCCTTCATCCTTAGAGGTAACCTTACAGAAGAAGGGACTTGCTGCCTCTCTTACCTGGAATAGAGGTTACTGCTATGTGGTCAGGGAAAATTCCTTTCTTTCCACCAAGATAGGTAAATGCTACCTCATACTTAAGTCATATAAAGTTAGAAACTCCTAGAATTCCATGTGTTACAATAAATACATACTGATAAGGCAACTAGTGGGGTTATAACAGCTGGTGACATCTTCCAACTAGTTCCGAAACCTCTCATCCTTGGAGAAGGAACTGAGGAATAGGAGTGATATTGAATCTGTGTCTTATCTAGTTTTCTTCTGTCTCTCTTCTTGTCTCATAACCACTTCATTAAAAATACCTATGTGCAACGCATTATTTATTATAGGTGTTATCAGGGTAAAGAGGCCAAATCTGATTTGATAGAAAATGTAGATATTAAATATACATTAATTTTGGCTAGGATAATCAGGAAGTTCTGCTTAAAAAACATGGCATCTGCATGTGCCATGATGGACAAAACATTAAAGATATAAATTATCCTAATTGAGAAAGATAGAAATTGTAATTTGAACTCAGTGGTGGGCCATGGTCACAAGTCTAAATACCTATATACATTTTCTTTCAAAAATTTATTTATTTATTTTTAGACAGAGGGGTAGGGAAGGAGAGAAATATCAATGTGTGGCTGCCTCCCATGTGCCCCTACTGGGGACCTAGCCCACACCCAAGGCCTGTGCCGTGACTGGGAATCGAACCAGTGACCCTCTGGTTCTGTGTGACTCAGTCCACTGAGCCATACACCTACATATATTTTCAATGGAAGAGAGGCATGGTGGCCTATTATGCTCCATTTGATTTATCCATTCAACATATACTATTGAACACTTACTATGTGCCAAATTAGATGACGTGTACTATGTTAGGTATTATGGGGTATGAGAAAGTAGGAGGAAATATAACACATGGTTCCCATTATGAAGGGACTTATCATTTAATTTCAGACATTTAAATTAGGACACAAGATGACACTGGTAGAAATATTATAGATGTGAAGTATACTAGATAAAATGAATACTTAGGCATTCAGAGGAATAAATTCCCTTGGGTTGGAACACTCATCAAAGTTCTTCATAGAGAAGACTGAACTTGAGTTTGTTCTTTAATTTTAGCCACGAGTTAGAAAACACAAGTGTGATCATTATAGGTAGGATGACAATATCACGTATCATTAAAACCAAGATACTTTACGGCAATAAAAGAGGGTACTGTTAATAATTACACAGGGGCAGAAGATATATGCCAGAACTGTCCCAGGAAAATTGGGATGGACAGTCACCCTAATGCACAACAAAATAAACAATAATAAAGAGGTAAAAGTAGCAAACATGCTTCCATACAGAGCACTCAAGTATCAGTTTTATTAAACTTCAATCTAATTCTCCGGCAATCACATCTAATTTTCCTTTGTAGAAAAGAAATTAGTCATTATGTTGATATATGTTTTTCTGTTTTCCTATGAGTGAGCTATTATGTAGTATTACATTATGAAGGGCATACACAGTTTAATAGAAAAGTAAGTTATTTTATGGGATATACTTATGGACATGGATAAAGGCAGGAGACTACAGATATGAAAGATTTTGTCATGGATGGATCAGCAGGATTTGATGACTGGACTGATTGGCAAGTTTTTTCATTGTGTTGGCTTTTGTGTTACTAGGCTTTGATCAAGAGCCCCTGTCAGGACAAGAAGCTGCCTACATACTTGAAGAATCTTTCTGATAGCACAGAGAAAGTGGTGCATGAAGTCAGTTTATATCCTGGGAACCTGGGAGCCATTATTAACATCCTTGATTTATTCTCAACAATTCCAGGCCAAGTGAATTCAGAAATGATGAAGGTGAGTTTGTTTAAGACTCACAGGAGTTTGGGGGTCTCATTTTTTCACCCGTCAGGACCTGCGTTCAAGGAAGATAGCACCTCCCCAATATAGCTTCCTCTCTGTCATTTCCAGAGCAATGCCCTAGGTATGAGTCACAGAACATGATTTGCCATCTATGGCTTTTAGAATGTCAGGGAGTGTTTCCAATAGTCATTTGGGGGCCTTAAAGAGGTTTCTTTAGTGAGTCTCTGCTTTAGTTTCTTCATCAAAGTAGAATGAATTGTTATCTTCTTTCTAGGAAAAGTAGAAAGTAAAGGTTTTCTGAATAGGATTCTCAGTAGTCTGACACTAAACATGAAATTTGAAACAGTCAAGGCTCTGGAAGGAAAGAGAATTTGCCTGCAAAAATACCGATGAAGAGAGTTTAATAAAAGGATGTGTAAAGACATAAAGCCGGTATTAAAAAAAAATAGATGGTGAGGCATTCAGAGACCAGAAAATTTAGGACCCGTTACTACCCCTGGGACTAAAGAGAAAGGGAGAGGAAATAGTGCCCCTAGAGCTGACTGGAAGCTGAATCCTCGGAGGAGGGATCATAGCTATTGCCAAAGATGTGCTCAGAGAGTGTAGATGAGGGAGTAGGGTATGGTGGGTAGTAGAAAAATATATTTCACCTTTTTTCTTCTCCCACCATCCCATCTCCTGTCAATGTTTTCTATTGGCCAAACACAACCAGAGGCCAACTGGCAAACAGTTTGGGGAATAAGAGTCTAAGGATGTTATATAGATTTCCTACGGCTGCTATAACAGGCTGGGTGACTGACAATGACAGAAATTTATTTTCTGCAGCTCTCAAAGCTAGAAGTCCAAATTCAAGGTGTCTGCCAGGTCATTCTTCCTCAGAAGGCTCCAGGAGAGACTCTCTCCTTGCCTCTTCCAGATTCTGGTAGCTCCAGGCTTTCTTTGGCTTATGGCTGCCTCATTCCAATCTCCAACATTGTCTTCACAAGGCCTTCTCTGCTTCATTTACCTTCTCCTTTTCTATCTCTTATAAGGATACTTATTATTGGATTCAGGGCTCACCTATGTGATCTGAGATGGTTTCCTTCACAATCCTTAACATAATTACCTCTGCAAAGACCCTTCCCCCAAGTAAGTTTACATTCACAGGGTCTGTGCATAGAACATGCCATTTTGGGGAGCCACCATTCAAGTAACTACAGGGCTCAGAGTTTCAGAGAACAAAACAAGGTAAAAAAGGGTAGAGAAATTATAACAATGGAAGGCACAAATGGAAAATGACAAGCCCAAGTTTATGAGAGAAATAATCAAAATGTTTAGCAAAAAGGAAAGATGCTTTTGACAATAATGGCATTGCTCATTTAAGGTTCGGTATTTGAGAGGGTCTTCTGTGACTACCTTGTGGATGAAGTACCAGCCACCAAAAAGCCTTTACAAGCTTGGGGTTAAAAATAAAATAAAACAATTGATGAAGATCTTAGCCAGCCTGCTGAATTGGCCTTAGTGAGTGATTGTGGGTGGTTTTCACTGTCACTATTGCTAAGCGTCTAACAAAGTCTCACTGTCTTGGGGACCTACCCATCCTCTGCTAACCCCCTGCTATAAGCTGGTGGGTCCCAGGTCTTCACAGCCTGGGATGCCTCCTTTTTCTCTTCTCTTTTCCTCTTACATGTACCCACTCAACCAGTTTCCAGGGAGTTATTGTTTTTCTCTTTTATGATAAAAAATTTTTGTTTGGATTGATCCCATGTTATGTCAATTACAGCACATTCTCTCTACGGTTAACGTCATCCTCAACAAGCCTGTCCTGAATACATGGAAGGTGTTACAACAGCAACAGACCAATCACAGCTCACAGCTACTGGATTCAATGGAAAGGTTTTCCCAAGCATTACAGTCAGAAGACAGCACCGATTTGTCCTTCTGCCAATCTAATGTGCAGATGAAGACCATGGTCATAAAATCTGGCACCCCAAAACCCTACAAGCAGATCTTCCTTTTCCCAGACTATGACCTCGGGGGTAATGTGGCTATTGATGAGTACCATCTGGGACACCTGCAGCCAGGTGCATCTATTGTCACCATGGCATTCCCAACTCTCAAAACCATACTTGCCCAGAATGCTCAGAGAAATTCTGCAAACAGCCTAGTGATGACTACCACTGTCAGCCACAAAATAACCATGCCTTTCAGGATTTCAATGACTTTTAAGAACAACAAATCCTTAGGTGGGAAACCACAGTGTGTCTTCTGGAACTTCACCCTTGCCAACCACACAGGAGGGTGGGATAGCAGTGGGTGCTATACAAAAGTTGATGGGGACAGTGTCTTATGCAGCTGTGACCACATAACGTCATTCTCCATCCTCATGTCTCCTGATACCCCAGACCCTGATTCTCTCCTGAAAATACTGCTGGATATTATTTCCTACATTGGGTTATGCTTTTCCATCCTGAGCTTAGCAGCCTGTCTAGTTGTGGAAGCTGTGGTGTGGAAGTCAGTGACCAAGAATCGAACTTCCTATATGCGTCACATCTGCATAGTGAACATTGCTGCCTCCCTTCTGGTTGCTGACATTTGGTTCATTGTGGCCTCCACCATCCGGGACCATCACTATGTACTCAATGAGACAGCCTGCGTGGCCGCCACCTTCTTCATCCACTTCTTCTACCTCAGTGTCTTTTTCTGGATGCTGACTCTGGGTCTCATGCTCTTCTACCGCCTGGTTTTCATCCTGCATGATGCCAGCAAGTCCTTTCAGAAGGCTATTGCTTTTTCCCTTGGTTACGGCTGCCCTCTCATCATCTCAGTCATCACAGTGGGGGTCACCCAGCCCCAGGAAGTCTACACAAGGAAGAATGCCTGTTGGCTCAACTGGGAGGACACCAAGGCCCTACTAGCCTTTGTCATCCCAGCACTGATCATCGTGGTGGTGAACATGACCATCACAGTTGTGGTCATCACCAAGATCCTGAGACCTTCCATTGGAGATAAGCCCAATAAGCAGGAGAAGAGCAGCCTATTTCAGATTAGCAAGAGCATTGGGGTCCTCACACCACTCTTGGGGCTCACCTGGGGTTTTGGTCTTGCCACTGTGTTCCAGGGAAGCAATGCTGTGTTCCATATTGTATTTACCCTCCTCAATGCCTTCCAGGTAAGTTCTGTAGTGCCAGTCTCGCAGGAAGTATCTATGTAGGTGGGACAAATTAATGATAGAAACACAAACAGGAGTGGGAATGGGGAAGGATTTTAGTTCAGAGGAGGACCTAGCCCTAAACAGCTGTAATCACAGGAACTCAGTGAGATAGAAAGGACACATTCCTCTGTTCCCATGGACTCTCACTCCCCTTATCACCTGCATCATAATTTAGTTGCACATGCAACTCTCTTCTAAAAGCCCTGATAATCCAACTAGGAGGAAAGTTCCTTCCCAACACAGAATTTGCTATTTACCCAACATTATCTTGATGCTACCTATTAAGCCAACTAATCTCTTAAGTTAATTTCCACAAGCATTAAATGAGCTCTGTCTCTGAGAGGTCAAGGACAGCATCTGTCTTATTCATCACTAGTGCCTAAATGTAACCTAGGTGCTCAATAACCATTGGATGAATGAAATTAATGCTATGCACCACATATTATGTTCTCTGAAAGCATTTGTTGAAGAATGAGAGGATGAATGTCCTATGTAAGGTGTGCATTCTGATGTATTACACTAAAATGGAAAAGGCTCCCTCTTTGCTCTCCTGTAGCACATAATGCATTACAACATAGGTCAATTTGTTAGAAAAGCTTTGGCCAAGGTACAGACAACAAGGCTTTGGAGCACAGGAAGGAAATGCTTAATTTTGATTTAACCGGTGGGCAGGCAGAAAACATGGGCCTCCTTGTGAGCTGGTGAGGAGGCAGGGGGTCTAGAGGTGAAACTGAGACATTCATAGCCCCCTGGATGCTCACAAACAGACCATGCAAATTCTAATTTCTGCTATTGGGCTCATGGCTCCAAATTATAGGGAGGGCCTGTGTCTAATGACATTTTTAATATGCTTTGACTAAACTGGACTGATTATTCCACCCCACGGTCCAGGTCCTCATCACAACTATATGAGGGCTACTCTAGGCACAAGAGGTGTGTCTGATAGCATAACCAGCAGGATCTCCACTTCACAACTGGGGGGAAATAAAGTAGTAGAAAATATCCTTATAACATTCAAACATTGAAAGTCCTTGGTGTGGACCTACTGCATCCCTTTTAATATTATCATCTGCTGGACTCATTCTATAGACACAGATGTGAGAAGAGGTAATACAAATTCATTGGCAGGTTAACAATACTTCCTTTTTGCTGGACAATAGAATATGACTAAATGTACTTCTGCCCAATTCTTTTTTCCAGGGATTATTCATTTTACTCTTTGGATGCCTCTGGGATCAGAAGGTAAGAACATGAGAGTTTTATGGTCCTAGAAAAGTGTGAAGTGCTTACAGCATGTTGAATTTATAACAGTTTTCTTTTTTAAACAACACAGGTACAGGAAGCTTTGCTGAAAAAGTTTTCACTGTCAAGATGGTCCTCACAGCACTCAAAGGTAACTATTCCCTTTGTAGAGACTTTTGAAAAACCTCTCTCTCTACACCAGTTTTAGCTTAGCTGATGCCAATGTTTTTGCTTCTCATCTGATCTGGCCTATTAAACACAGTTAATGGAATTGTTATTAAGATGTTGTACCTACTTCTGGTCGAGATGGAGGTGTTGGTAGACATGTTTTGCCTCCTTACACAACCACAAAAAGAATTGCAACCAAATCTGAAAACAAATAAAACCCAGAACTGTCAGAAAATCAAACTCTATGGAAGTTCAACAACCAAGGATTTAAAGAAGCTACATTCATCCAAATGGGTATGAGGGGTGGAGATACAGAGATGGAGCAGAGAGGTGAGGAAACGCAGTGTGGTGTGGAGAGACAGTGGCCCCTGTGGAACAGGCACAGGTGGTCCCACATTCACATGTGGTGGATAAAAATCAGGAGGGATACCTTGGGAGTGAGCAATCTCCAAGCCCCAGGCCAGACCACACCACCCAGGGTTCCAATGCTGGGAAGATAAATTCCCAAAACTTCTGACTGTAAAAACCAGTGGGGGCTGGAGTGGTGGAAGAAACTGCTGGATTTCCAGGCAACTCCACTTAAAGGGCCCACACAGTCTTAAAACATAAGCAAACTGGCCCACACTGAGATTCAACACCAGGGCAACAGCTGGAAGGGCGCCAGATGCATATGGGGAGTCAGTGAAGTGACTGAAAATAGGTCGAGTGCTGAGAAACCACCCAGAAGGCAGGCAACAGCACAGTCCCCTCTCTGAGCCACAGAGCCACAAATTGCTGAAGCATATTGCCCTGCCCTTGAGATTAGCAAGGGCTCCGCCCCACACAATGTACAGGTGCCTTTAACAAGGAGTCAAAGCAGCTCTACCTAACGCACAGAAGCAAATACAGGGAGGCTGTCAAATTGAGGAGACAAAGAAATATGGCCCAAATGAAAGAACAGAACAAAACCCAGAAAAAAACCTAAATGAAATGGAGATAGCCAACCTATCAGATGCAGAGGAATCAAGGATGCCAGAAGGGGAAGAGGTCCCCAAATCTTTAAACAGAGTCAAAAAGCACAGACAATGTCAACTGGAGGTTAATACAAAATTTCAGTGAGAAATAAACAAAAGTTTTCTGATGAAACACAAGGCAGTAGAGAACACAATATGAGAAATAATAATAAATAGACTTTCCTGTAGTTCATTTTGGAAAATAACTATTGCACTCAAACATATTTCACTGTATTCACATGCCGGAAGATACTAAACTCTATAATGGTAAAAAGATATTTGAAAGTTATTTTCCTAATACTGATGATGAGATTCCAGTGTTTCAAGGTGCTCCTCCTTGATTTGTTTGAAGTAGAAATTCATGCTTGTCCAGGCTCTCACCTTGAAGTGTGATGAGACATAGTCAGGCAGTGACCACTAGGGGGCAGCAAATAAAATCCTACTAGAGATAAAGCAGGGACTTGTCTAACAGTTTGGCACTTAAACGTCCTTTTTTTCCTCTTTTGTAGTCAACATCCCTAGGTTCGTCTACCCCCGTATTTTCCATGAGTTCTCCAATATCAAGAAGATTTAACAATTTGTTTGGAAAAACAGGTATGTAGTGACTACTAGGCACTCCCTGTGTTGACCCAAGCAAATTGCCCCGATGGGAAGTCTAAAAACCATACTTTCCCAGTCAGTCCCCACTTGATGGCCTCATTGGGGGAAGAGGTTAAATGCAGGAACTCGCTTATATTTTTCCAAATCACCAAGAGGCTGGTACAGAGGGTAACTGCCTTCAGTAGACAACTAATAACTTATGAAGAAGATTTAGAGAATCTAGGAAAGCCTGCAGTGAGCTGTCTGTCAGCCATTAAAATGGAAACTGGAAACTGCTGGCCTTGTCAAACACAGAGCTCTTTCTGTTCATGTGAAATATGACTAAGGGGGCATACTTCTGGGTTATAGTTCAGCAAAGAATATGTTTATAAGAGCAAACTAGGAGCATGCTCTGGGTTGTTTTCCTCCCCTTGTTTTCTTTCCTTTTTCATTTTTTGGAGAGTGCTTGTTTTACATATTGACATTTCTAAAATTATGCATACATATATGGGGGATCACCCAAGTTAGCTATTCTATCAGAAACATGGACAGTTAAAATGCCCACCTTGGACGTACAAAATGAATGACATTAATGGCTTCGGGTAATGGGTCTCAGCCATCCTGGCAGGTCAAAACCCCCGTTCCACTGCAGCCACTGTCAGCTCCAGGAAAATAAGCTCCACAATTCTTTTCAGCCTCTTGAAACCCAATAGATCTCACAAATGTGGAATCTAGAAATGTGTCAATGTTCTGGACCAAAGCTTTTAAAAACGCCTCTTTGTCGTCAAAACTCCAGAGGACGTGGAGTTTTGGGCTTCAGTCTGAGGCATTACACTGGAGGACATGGCTTTTGATTTTGAAAGTCACTCATTGGACCTGTTGTGTAATGATGAGGTCCTCAGGGTGTATTAGATCTATTACACTTGAGCATCACTATCACTGGGATGTATTTGCCATTTGCGTTAAAGCGAAAATAGTGAAAAATCTATGAAATGATTAGACGCATTACACGAAGCCAAGAAAAGGTGTCCATTGTTTCTGAATCACTCAGGTATGAGTTAGAGTTGGGGCTCTGTTTCCTACGTCCCAGGGCCTGAAATTCCTGGTCATTGCCACCTGGTAGCCTCTCGGGCTCATCCATGCGGCTCCACGCTGGCCCATTTGAGAGTTCCATAATCACTGTCGCTTTGGTTTATGTTGTCAGCAGCCCCCCGGGGCCCCCCAGGCAATGATGGAAACCTTGTTAGCAGTGGCAGTTCACCAATCTGATGGTAGGGTGGCCACTGTGTCCCTTCCCTTGCTCGACACACATCCCCTACTGTGCCTGTGCTCAGTCCCCACCTTCCCGCTGGTTCAGCCCGTGGGGCGGCCCCGGGGCTGCCCTCCCCAGCACCCTGGCTCTCAGCACTTTTGTTGGCATCCCCTGACTTCCGCTTTACTTCTGCTTCTGCCTCTTCTTTCCCTGTCGTTTTCTCCTTTCTTTCCATCTCTCTGTTTCCCCCCTCGCCTTCAGCTCAGCTTCCAGGCCCTTCCCAAGAGCTTCCCCAAGTCACCGCAACCCAAGGGGACCAGAGAGGCTCCCTCGTGTGGATGTCCTCAGACCCATGCATGTGGTGGCATGTGGAGTGCTGTCCATGTTGAGATCCCTCTGTCCTTTGTAGAAATCTGGCTGCTGGTTTGATGGGAAGTAGTTAGTGCTTGTCTTGTCGGCTGCCACGCATGCTTGAGGACAGCTTTGTTTGTTCTCCGGCACCTGTGGGTCTCGGGCGGAGGGCAGGCATGGGTTTGACTTTGGGCATGGCAAGCTTACCTGGCTCTTGGACTAGAGCTCCTAGATCTTTAAGGGAGGTTCACACTCGGTGAGCATGCAGGCTGGTCCTTCAGGCTAAGCTGCCCTTCTGTTTTGCAGGAACGTACAATGTTTCTACCCCAGAAACAACCAGCACATCCATGGAAAACACGTCCAGTGCTTATTCGTTGCTCAACTAAGAACAGGAAAACCCGACCCATGTGACTCTTGGGAGGCAGTGGATGTGCTGTGAAAAAGAGATCCTGTCAAAGCCCTGGGTGAAATACTCCCACAGCCTCCTGGGAGGGATGCTGAAGAGACTTTTTCACTAGGAAAGAGGCTTTCTGTTGTAAAGATAGACTAAAAGTTATTGTTCCATTTATTTTGCTACCCTACCCCCACCCTTTGTGTGATACCCAATGTGTATAGTATTTAAGTGAAACTCCAGTTCCCCAAGGTCCCACTTATCTGTCTATATTGTAAAATAGAATTTCAAAGAGACATTTCACTTTCCACATGCTGGGCACAAGGACAAGCTTTGTTTAAAATTATAAGTAAAAGGCTAGTACTTAGGAAATATTCAGTGAATTCAAGAAGGAAGGAAAGGAAGGAAGGGAAGAGGGAAGGGAAAAATAGAGGAAAACAGCATTAAGGACCACACTTTAAGATTTCCGTGTTCATGATCTAATTACTCAGATAATGCAACATTGAGAATCAAAAAGTGGCTCAAAAATAGCAACAGAAAGTAAGCCATGGGGAAAGTTCAGTATCTTCCTGGTATTTTCTCAGCAAAGAAAGGGGGGGAAATCAGTGAAAAAAATAGGGAGAAAATGACATCATCAGGATGCTTTAAGGTGGGTAATAATATTTACAAGAAATGCATGTAAGGAGACATGTTTCTGCTGATGTTAAACACACACACATATTTTTAGCATTTAAGGTGTGAGCTAAGTAGGGTGAATATGCAGAGGGAGTGTGATAACCACCCTTTATCAGATCCAAGCCCATCCAACTGCTGGTTACCTTTTGAGAGTTTATCAGAAAAGCCTTATGTTTTGCTTTGTTCCATGTTTGGAAAGCAAAAAAAATACATTTTTAAAATATCTATTAATGGTCAAATGTGATGTATCACACTGAAAGCAGATCCCAGCTGTCTCTATTATATGCAACAGGTTTAACCAGGTACTTCTCTGTGCGTTATAGAATGGACTTAAACGATTTGTGGCATTGTCTATTACTGTTGTTATCACTGTGAGGTTAGTGGGCCTCAGCATGTTGCAGAGCTCTCTGTGCATTAGCTCTTTCCATCTTTAAGTTCCCAGACCCATATACATTTAGCGTTTCATGCAGTCCAGCCTGTGTTGATTGCAGCCACTTGGAGATGTCCCAGAAGGCCGCGCCACAGTTGGCTCATCTCTGCTCACAGTGGCACTTTCCCCTGGTGAACAGATGGTGGAGGGCTTCCCAAGATTTTGATTATGTATGATTTATGTATATGTGCCTTTCATGCAATACAAATATTTATTAAAATTGCCTCCATATTAAAGTCGACCAGGTGCTGCAGTTACAGTGGCCATACGTTCCAAGCCAAAGTCATGACAAGACAATAAAAAGGGGGGGGAGGCACTCGGGAAGTGTACCTGGAGCATGCTCTGTAAGGACAGAGAGCCAACCCCTCAGGAAACTAGGACAAAAAAGGCTGAAATTCAACAATCATTAATTTATTGAAGGGGTTTTCTTTTAATATTTTAACTCTTTAAAAATATCTTCCTTTTATTTGTGATTCTAAATTCTACCCTGGCTTTCTTTTCTTCATGGGAAGTGGGGCAGGTGCAACATAGAAATATCAGTAATGCTTAGAGTGAATGAACTCTTTATTTCTGCAGTCCGAATGGCACAGGCGTAGACACTGACGCCCATGTTCCCCTGAAAATGGTCACTGCACTCTTCTGACCGAAGAGTGCATTATTTAAAGTCCCGGAAGGAAATGGTTGTCAAGCTATGAAGTTCTCCAGGGCATGACCACTTTGGGCAGCACTCAGTCCTGGGAACTTGGAGAACCCGCTGAAGTAGAATTAGACATCAGGGAAAGATGGGCTGTGCCCGACCCGGTTCCTGGGCTTGTCCCAGGGAGAACAGAGGAGGGCTACAGCACAACGTTAGCATGGCCAAGGAAAGCACAGGACTCAGGAGGAGGCTATGGTTGTCATGTTCAAAAACACAATGGGACAAAAAAACACTGAACTTCCACTCACTTCTGTAAGAGTCCTTTGGGAATCATTGTGTTTGGTGTTGGGAAAGGAACCCCTGCATGGCAGGAGCCTTCGGCAGAGTTCCACAGAGAGCGGGCCTGGCCCTCGGCCCGTGTTCGTTAATGGAGGCACGTTCCCTCACTATACACACACACGCACAGAGGCATGCGCTTGACTCCCACTTTACGAGCCACGCCACTGGACGCAAATTCCAGAAAAGCTATGAAAACAAAAAAGACTGGAGAAATGCTTGTTGGTTGCCTGCCCACCCGCAAGACACATAGTTCAACCTCTGCTCTTTGCCAAGTTTTCCCTAAACTGAGCAGCAGAGTTCAAAACCATAAGGGAGACCATCCATAAATCTGTAAATTTTATGAAAGCAGTAGCCCCTCTTGGCCCTGAGGTCACCAGTCCTCAATCAGCCACGGTTACACAGCCGCAGTGGCAGATTTCCGAGGGAAGGAGGCGGAAGGCAGAACACTGGCTCTCGGGTTGGTGCCAAGTGAGATGCATCATCTGCTTCGCTTATAAAGTGCCCCGTGCTTCCCCAGGGGTCTGACATCTCTCGGTGCGTAAAGTCAGTTCCATTGGGTAATATTTTCTTGCATGAAGGGACTATCCATTAAGTCAGTTTCTTGCAAAGGCACCTGTGCTAATGCTTCAAGAGGTTGTGAGGTTGAAGTGTCCACAAGTGAGCAGTTAATATGCAGAAATATTCTCTGGGAAGACTTTCAGTCCAGTGGGACATGTCAGCTCTTGAATGGGTCCTGTGTCTGCCATCCTATCCTCTTCCCTGCTTCTTACTGTTTGTATGGACAAAGAGGTTAGTAAAGATGCATGGATTTTTCGGGATGTAGGTTACTCAGGCCAAAAAACGAAAAAACACTGTGGGAAGTCACAGCCTTTGGTGGTTTGTGCAGAAAACTTCAGAGGGGTCTGTGTTAGGAAAGTTAAAGTTACATAGAGACGGGAGAGATTGTATCAGCCAGTAAGCGCAGAAGCAGGGGCGGAGTCACTCAGGGGAGTGGAACTGGAAGTCACAGTCATTGACAAGACGAGAGGAAACTCGGGGGGTGGCCATAGAAGACTGTGAAGGTGGAAAGCGTTTCACTTGTGACGGGTGATGCTAACATCCAACGGGGCTGCCGCGTCCCAGAATGCAAGCCCGTGGCCAACAGGAGCTGGGTTCCCCGAGTGCGCACAATCAAAGAGGGTTCTCTGGTGGGTATTTCTTTCTTACGTATTTTTAAAAGTCAGCGAAAATAGTGTCTCGTCATTTCAAAGATGTGTGCTTTGAAATGAGATGCTACCGGTTTCTAAAATTAGAATTTAGGATTTAAAATCATGTCTTAGTTTGCCAGTATACAACTATGTTTCTTTTCCATGTTTATAACAATAAAATATTTTATAAGATCTGGTAAAATATATAAATTGTCTGCTCTTCTGCAATCTGCTACTACTGCTGTCTCAGGCTTCCCCCATGTCAACCACAATTTCACTCCATAATCCAAACAGTGAGTGAATGGCCCCTTCCATTCTCCAGGCGTGCAGTGGGGCGGGATGGGGGCGGTGCCAGCTCACGGCTGAACTCAAGTGGCCAATGGCAGTGACGCCTCTCCTCACACCATCCACACTCCCACTCAGTACGTGGAGCCCAGAAGCTGGCAGAAGAGTTAAACAGGGGTCCTTGAAGTAAAGTTCACTTTCTGGGAAATAAACAAACAAATGTTCTGACAGTGTGCATGGCTTCGCTGGAACTCTTCTGGAGAGCTGGAGACAGAGCCCCGGGCGTTGTTAGCCACACACATGTCTGCAACGCGGCCTCACAGCTCCCGTAGTCGTTTCCTGGTGCCACGGAGCATGTCACCGCGGACTTAGAGGCTCAGAACCATGTTCACTCGTCGTGCAGTGTCTGAGGGTCAGCAGTCTGGGCGTGGCTTAACTGGCTCCTCTGCTCAGGTCAGGGTCTCACTCGGGGGGTCCTTCCCCAAGCTCACTGCTTTTTTGGCAGAATTTCATTCCTTCTGGTTGTGGGACTGAGGCCCTCAGCTCCCGGGGGTGTCTTGTCTCCTGCCATGGGTCCCTCCCCCAATATGACAGTTTGCTTCTTTCAAGTCAGTAGAAAAACTGCCAATTTGAATCCCCCTGACTTCCGTCATCTTTAATCTCTTCCTTCATCTCTCATCTCTAAGCTCTTTTAATTGGATTCAGCTGATTAGGTCAGGGCCGTCCCTTGTGATTAACACACAAAGTCAGGTAATTAGGGACCTTAACTGCATCTGCAAAATCCCTTCACCTGTGCCATTTAATGTACTCTGCTCCTGGGAGTGACCTCATAGTTGCAGGTCCTGCCCGAAGCCAAGGGGAGAAGATTATGCAAGGCAGTTCATCAGCTCATTTAAACAAACTGCAAACATAGGGACCCACCCCTGCTTTGCAGAACCTATGCAAGACATGAGCTGCGCATATGTGGCCAGTACACATTCCTTTATCCATGGTGGTGATCACACTTAGGGTCTCTCCGGCAGTATCTGTAATAAGGCTCTCACGCTGCGAATATTCTATCTGCTGAACCTGCAAATGGGAAGAACACACCTGCCCTACAGGGGTGGCATCCAGCTGCATGGAAATCCAGGGGGAGGGCACCATTTGGAAAAGCTGAAATGAAAAGCGGCACGGCAGCTCCGAGCTGACAGCCTTCCCCAGGGTGGCATGTGTCTGGAGTGCCAGGGAGAGTGAGCCCAGGGGCTAACAATGTGCCCTTGACACCGAGGCCAACAGATCGGAGACCTAAGCCCCAGGGTGTCCGGTTGGCCTCTGAGCTTTGGCGCACCTGACCTCCCAGTCCTTAAAAATAAAGCCAAAATGCCCCTCTCACATGGGGCACTTCTCCCCTCCAGACCTCTCATGAAATGCTGCCGCCTGCAGCCTGCAGCCTGCAGCCTGCAGCCTGCACTTCCCGCCCACACTGCGGAGTTTTCATACCTCAGTGAGCCCTGGAGCTCTAATGGGATTAAAACCCTGCCACCCTGTGTTTGCTTGGGTCACGGCCGCCTGTCTGGAGCTTTCTGCTCATTTGAGCTGGGGTTATTTTCTATGTCGTAATGGTATGTCATTAAGAAGGAAGATGTGTATTTTTGTTTTTGGAAGAATTGTTTCCCTGAAGTTTACACTTTTTCATACAAACAGGGAGGAAAGCACGCTTCCTCTGAGTGCTTTGTACGGAAGCGAATGCAGCTTTCCTTGAACTTTGGGTGAGGCCTGGGGAAATACCCTACCCAGTCGGACTGTAACGTGAGTCCCGTGTATTCTGATTGTTTTAGTAGTCACATTTTTAAACAAGTAGGTGGAATTCATTTTAATAATGCATTTTATTTAACCCAGTATATCCAAATCATTATTCCAAGAGGTGATTAACATGCACTTAACGGGATGCTTTACACGTTCTGGACATCAGGAGTGTACTTCACACTCACAAGGCACCGCGGCGGTCACAGCCTCATTCCCCCTGCTTCAGAGCCTCACGTGTCCAGGGGCCAGCGCATCAGGCAACACAGCTCAGAGCACAAACCAGACACAAAGGCTTCCTGCTACTCATTTCTGCTGCCTTCTGTGCCCTGGCAGCAGGGTAGGAAGATAAAATTAAAGCAAGGCCTGTACCGTGCCATCCGGGCTGGGGTGTGCGTGTTTTCTGTGCGTAGCAGCCCTGCCCTCTGAGGGGCCTAGAAGCACACAGACAGCGGCACTCCCTTGGAGGCTGCTGACACGCACGGGGCACTGGCCCCAGAGAATCACAGCCCCGCATCCTCCCCAGGAGGGAGAAGTGCCTGGGACCCGCCTCGGCTCTCTGTCCTGGGGGACCAGCGGGCTGTGTCATTCGTGTGGTGAGGCAGAAGGAACAAGGCTCCCGGATTGAGCAGTCGCCTTTCCTCACTCATCTGGGCCGTTCACGAAGCCCCTCTAGCCCTCGGGTGCTCACCTGAAAAATAAGGGTCATCTAATTACCCCTCAAGGGTTTTGTCAAGCTCAATAAGCATAGTTTATACAAATCTGTTTTGTAAACTATCAAGTATTGTGCAAACGAAAATTTATTTTCATATCTCTTCGAAAGTAGAGAGGTGACCCTGGGGGAGCTATGGGGAAGGGGCGTTAAGCCCCCACGACTCTAATGAGATCCCAAGGGTCATTTTAAGCTCTGATGGCCTCTTGGGGTCTCTAGAAGGGCCCTGGATCGGGGAGGGGTGGGACACTTCATCAAGTGCCCATAAGGGAATGAGGTAGTGCTGGAAAAATTATTGACTTTGAAGGCTCTCTTCAAGCTAATTCTGTATGTGATGAGATAACTTTTCCTACAAGGCCCCAAAGCACATCTGTAAATTGGCAGAGTTTTAATACTGTTACCCAAAGACTTACCTTCACCCAGGCCTTTGGTGCTTCCCAGAAGAGTCCAGCCCCTCTTCCTTGCCTCAGAATGCGGAGTCATGGGGCATGACTCAGCTTCTAGCTACCCGGTCCCCAGGGCACATACCAGATCCCGATTGCCCAATGACACAGGAGGGACTGCCAGAGGCCCAGGCCTGTCACACGGCCCAGGTGCCTTCAGAAGCCCTTTGAGGAGGGCAAGCCCCTGGAGATCAACTTCTGGCTGGAACTACTTCAGTGTCCTTCAAGTTCAGGCCTGGAGACCAGATGGCCCCAAAGGATGAACGTGTTGGGAGGGGGAAAGCCTCACAGTTGGGATTAGTGGGTTTCCAGGGGAGGTCTGCTCTGAGTGATGCCTCCCTGGCACCAAATGTGTCCACATGGCATCCAGGGGCCCATTTCCCCCAGAGACAGCTGGCAGCAGTGTCATTCACATCCCAGGTGACTGCCCCCCCTGGTGACTCATGCCTGCAGATGCCAGGCAGTATGCCCAAATAAGAGCATGGCATTGGCCCCTGGGCGGGCTGTGGTGTACCCACCCACCCTCCCTCTGTGCCCATCAGTGGTACAGAAGGCGTGGGGATGCCGTGAAGCACCTGGAACTTCCCATTCACCAATCTCAAAAGCCTAGGCCCCCACCACCCCCAGCCTTTCCTTCTGTCCTATATGGATGGATGGCTAAATTTATCCTCAAGCACACTCTGGAGAGGAAACAATTCCTGTAAGTCTTTCGGTGCACGTGGGGCAGACAGAAAGAAAGAAGGAAAGATGGGCGCAGGGCCGGAGCCCGCCCTGTGCCAGGGCCCTGAAACTTAGCTCCAGATACCATCTTCCTGTGTGGGCTGGGCATGGTTTCCTACGATTTAGATACAGTCCTCTTGTGTATTTTAAAGATGATTTTCTAGAATCTGTCCTTTCCCTTTTACCCAAAAACTTTGAGATGAAGGGTTCAAAGGTTATGAGTGCTTCCTCTGCACAAGTGGCCATGGGCAGGGGAGACGTGAGCACTTTCACACCCCAGGGTTTTTATTCTTTAATACAGAGCCAAGTCCCAAGCGACATATGCTGGCAACTATTCGAATCTAAACAGACGAAGCCAGGAGTCCAGAAAAAAAGGCTTTTTCTCAGCATGAAAAGCAACAGGAACTGATTGAGGAAGTCATGGGAAGACTGCAGTCACAGCCCACTTCCACGTTCAACAACAGAGTCCAAGGATGACCTTGGGCCTTTTTTGTAACCAGATTTGATTAGTCCCATCCTCTCTGTCCTCCACCCTGCCAAACAGCCCCCACACCCAGTGGTGGTGGAAAGATGTGTTTGATTTTGATTACCCGAGGAAAATCGAACATGCATTTACTGCTCTTCTGGAACTGTGAGCGTTTCCCGCAGCCACAGCTGTCCTAGTCAGAGGGTCCTGGCCAGGACTCTCCAGCCGGGCTAATGAGTGACAGCTGGCCTCCGGCGCTGAGTCGCTACACCCTCTGGCTTCTCCTGAGGCTTGATCGCCACCTAGTGGTTGTTAAGAGGAAGCGTCTCCTCTGGGTCACCCTGTTTAGAACCTCAAAAGCAAAGTTTTAGGACCATGGATGACTTGCTCAATGGGAAACGTGAGGAGAAGTAATTTCGGGGGCATGAAAAGACTGAAGGTGGAATCGAGGCCTGTTAGATGATCGAAACCAGGAATGAAAGAATCACTCTCACGCCCCACCACTTAACCCTTTACGTTATGTTCCTGGCAGGAGAAAAGGAAATCAGAAAGAGAGGTTAGAGGCTTGGGGCAGGCGAGCATTCCAGCCCCAGTTTCCGTGAACGAGATGGATGTCCAGGCACGGGTCCACTTCTGAGGTACACCAGCCAGACGGGCTCCCTCCTCCTGACTCTTTCCTCCCTCACTGACCGAGTCTTATTTATGGATCCAAAGGCACAGCTAAAAGCAGCCGAGGAAATCACCTGATTCCCTTTCCAAACAAAGGTCAGGAAGGTAGTTTGAGGAAACAAATGGG